AGGTGTGAAGTCTTGTCTTCGCCGTGTACCTTGACGCCGACGTTGGGCTGACCATTCTTGTTGACGACCTTGAAGGGGAAGTGCTTGATGTCGTTCTGGACAGACTTGTCCTTGAACTTCTGACCGATGAGACGTTTCTACTCCATAGTCAGTATGCTAGCATGCGAGAGGCGAGATATTGGGTCTACGTACGATATCGAAGATGGTGCGTTCGGGGTTGGAGGCGAACTGGTTCTTGGCCGCGTCTCCGACAAGACGCTCGTCGTCTGTGAAAGCTACCCATGAAGGTGTGATACGGTTACCTGGAGGGGTTTGTGAGTTTGGCTCTTGTAGGCGGAATGGACTATGGCGACTTACCTTGGTCGTTGGTGATGATTTCTACCTTTCCGTTCTTCATGATACCGACACATGAGTATGTGGTTCCAAGATCGATACCAATAACGGGGCCAGAGACAGCATTGCTGTCTTCCTTGAGGGGTTCCTGCTCCTTGGCGTGTGCTGTCTTAGCCAGCATCAAACCGCCAACGAGGACGAGGAGAAGGTATAGGGCGATAGACCATGTCGAGCGCGAGCTCGAACTCCGTGAGCTTCGCGCCATTGTGGAAATGTGTGGAATAGTCTGTCGAAGACTAAGTGGCCTTTAATGCCGAAAGCAAGTGCGGGCGTAACTCTCTGGGAGCTCGCAATGTGTGGTGGAGTAGACGAAGCTCTCCGGGTATCGTAGAAAAGGAAACAAGGCGGATTGCTGTTGTTCCAGGTGAGGTAAGGAGGAAAGGCAAGAAGCGGTGGAAGGCCTAGGTTATATGCTGGCCAGTCGTGGAAGTATTTCGAAAGAACACCTTGCGATCTCGAATGCTAGCTCCGAAAGTGGCCTAGCGCCGAGCTTGCCCATGGCGCTTTTGCCCCAACCGCCCGCATCAGCCTCAATTACTCTCGCATTTGATGCAACCTGGTACAGGACACGTGTAATTTAGCGGTGAAGTTCCATTCTATTGCTATCGTGTTCATTTCTGTGACTCCGCAATTATCCACCTTTGTAGGCCCCCGAGTCCTGGTGCGCCAAAGAGTAGCAAGAACTAGCCACGGTAATGCTATCGCCGGTATCAATTTACCCCTCCATCTTAAGCGAACACCTTCCCAAACTCTATTTCGAGGCTCAGGGTACCATTGCAAGAGCGATGAGATGGATTGCGATCACTGGGACCGAATTATGGATTGCGAATTTCCGAAATGACCGTCAATCCCCACGTAATTTCATTGGCTTCTACTTGGTTCTTTGTTACAAGTGTCCTTTCGGATCCTTCCAAGATTGCCAGGCGGAGCTCCACGCCGCCACCGATCAAACATCACCATCGCAATGACTCTTCGTTCTAAATGCAACGTATTCACTGTGATGAATTACAGTCATGCGCACGGCCGATTGATTGTAGTCGCTGCCTTGGAAGGAGCAAGTCATGAATTGCCAAACTGGCCTTTCAGCATCCCGCACGGTCCTCCGAATCTTCTACACAACCATCCATGGGATTACCGAGGCGTTTCACCTCCACTCGATCAGTGTGTTGTATAGATTGTACAATTTCGACACGTGGATGTAAAATGTGGCAACATTGCAAAAGACGACAACTGTCGTGATCTCTATAGTCGCCCTCGGTGGTCTACCGTGTCCTCTTGCCAACATACGTATTGCCTTTCATTTCTACAAAGATATCGCAAAAGACTTTGTACACTCTTACGCTTGAATCCACCCCTAGTGAAATACTGCACTGCAAACAATCTGCGTATTTCGAGAACATACACGCGCAGGAAACGTCATATTAGAGCATGTTTACACGGTTCCTGTAGAAAACTCTGCTGATGTATAAACAAGAGTATGGTATTTCGGAGCCCAGGAACTGATGATGGAGCATGTGCCATACCAGAAAAGGCAGATACAGCGTTCCCGAACCACCTTTGAACCGCCATCCTCTAGAGTGGCATTTTAGCAATTATAAGGCAGCTCTAGCAGCTGCTACAATTAACACATGCGACCGAAGGTAACCTGAATGTCTGTCCTCGCGGCTTCACGCCAGCCGCTTAGTAATCGGCCAGCCTGATTGGCCGCGACGTGATCACAACGTCATGGATTCCGTGTACCTACTACCACCGCTGGCGGCGTTATTTACCTGATTATGTGGTAGTTGGTGATGCTTGCCATCGGATCTGAGGTATATAGGTTTTCAACGATGCTTCGTATTCGGTGCATCAAGACGCAGATCTCCCCGCTCGCCGCTCTTTCCCGAGACATCACGCTGCCCCTCAATCTGCCGTTAGTTACACAACTGCGGAGACGCTAGATACATAGCATGTCGGGCAACGTTGTGGATCCAGAAGCACGAGACAAGTACCTTTTGCAAGGTGTGTATTACATACCTACAACTACGTTTCTGACTGACGATTCTCAGTAACCGCCGGACCATCCTATGACCCCTCCCAACACCAACAAGTGTCAGTAAACGGCTCAGAGGCAACTCACATCGAAAGCGATATTCTATCGGCATGGGTGCGCGTCCGTATCAAGGACTATCATGGCCTACCTCGTGGTTCTCCGGCTTCATCAACGTACTTTCAGCACCCACAGCATACAGCTGACCGTTACTCCGTCGCCTACTCCTTCGTTCCGAAGAAAGACATGTCTGGTTCTGACCTGGTAATGGGATTCGACTATGGTCACTCGATCAAGCATCAGTTGCCGCCAGGCTTCAAGTACGCAATGAAGATTGCAACCAGCCTGCTGGATCCAGGACTGTATTCCGATGCCTATTGTGACGAACCATACTTATATGGGCCTGCACTGTCAAGTTTCTTCGCATTTAGAATCGGCGAAACAATCAGCAAAGTCTCCGCCCAGGATCAACTAGCACAGCTAGAGAAAGAGTCGGACAATGTCATTGAAGAAGGCGCAGTAGGAAGTGGCAAAGAGGTCAGGGAAGCAGCTGGAATGCCCTCGAAATGGAAGAAACGAAGAAAGTACTACCTTAACACGCAAGCCTTGGCAAACTTTACATTTGAGAAAGATCGCGTGTACCACGCTGACTTCTTCAACCCACACTTGGACTTTGCGAACTTTGCATTAAGGCTCCCTGGATTCTCTATCTCAGTAGCGAAGTATGTGGACGAGAAGACGCATCATTTGAGATATGTGCTCCGGAACCGGCGTACAGAAGAAGTGCTATTTGTGGTCTTCTTCAAGTTGTTGTTCGGGAAGGAACTCGATGAAACTTTAGAGCGGGAGAAGAGCCGGGAGAATGCACCAGCTGTGGCGGAGAATACGGCTCCGGTTGACGGACCGAGAAAAGAAGGCACAGGCCACGATGAGCTCACAAAGGTGTGTGCTGCTGAAGAGGCTGAACGGCAGGCTGAATTGCGTGCTTCACAACCCCAACCTTCGCCTGGAGAATCCGCCACAGCGAGAGATTCGAAATTAGAACCTGCTGCGGCGCCAGCTTCAGCAGCAACTGACTACGACAAAGACCATGAAGACCAGAGCTACATTGGTCAAGCATCTGCAGCGGCAACGAGCCTCGCAAACACCATGACAGCGGTGTACACGGCCTTTGGCTTTGGTAACTTCTCGTCTTCATCTTCAGAACCTGACAGCTCGAGCAGAAGCAGCTCACCGCGTCCCGAAAATCGAACGATGGCGGCAGAGATTGATGGGATGGATGACGAAAAGGTGGAACGCTACTTGCAGAGCAGGCATAAAAGTTCATGAGACTCTCCGACGTGGTTCCGGAGCAGAGCAGATTAAGACTGTGTAGCCGTCGTACTGGCCAGGTTCGTATGACCTGGTGGTTGTTTCGCCAATGGCCATGTCCCAAGACCACTGATACCCAGTAAGGTCTCAGCTACGACCATGGCTTGCCTTTAAAGTTCATAATTTCTCTTATAATCATGGGCCGATGCAAGGAAGACGAATACCAAGCAATTTTACGGAGCCCGGCTAAGTGTCCAGAGAAGGCAGCTCGTGTGCTTGTTGACATGTCACTCATGTCTCTGGTAGCTGCTAACCGCCATCATGGTTTCAACAATCGCAAACACTATGCGCAAAAGGCACCTATCAAGGTGGGAAACCAGCTTCAGGGAAGGTGAGTAAGCCAAAGCAGCACCTTACCGCCGTCGGAAAGTGCCAAACGACAGTATGATAGGTTGTCTGCTTTCTTAGTGGCCTCAGGTGGGGCACGGAGGCTCGGGCACTCGGCCCCACGTGCATCTCGAAGCCGATGAAACCTCGGGGCTGTCTTTCTGACACACCCTCTGTACCGAACAGGTATTCGTACGGCAACAATACACGAACCCCATGACGCATAGCCGTAGGCGTGGCGTCCATCGTCGCCCTCAATTCGAGCCGGACTGCAATATAGTTGGGCGCCTTGGTGTAATTAAGCTTACGGTAGCTTATAAAAATGCACTGACGATCTGCGTACCGGAAGCAGAAGCTTCCATGGCACTAGCGATATGTGTTGTAAAAGACGCTCACTGGACACTTTTGATTCGACAGACCATGTGCGGAATGGTAGTGATTCATCGGCCTGTACCTTCCCGCGAGCTGCGGGTATCTGTGTTCCAGTCAAACGCGTCTTGCGGCACTTGTTGTGGCGCGGATTCATGCGTTGCCGGATGGGGTACTACCTCTTTATGTATCTAGACATGTCATCTTTGGGGCAAGTCAGCTTGGTGAAAAACTTTCCTCCACATGATTACCTTTCCGCAATTTGCACAATTCGGCCCTTTGCAACGACGCAGTAATGATGATAAGCGCCTGTCTGGACCTCGCGCTCTTGTGCCATCCTGTCCTCGCTCTCCTCACCATTCAACGACCGAAAATGCAGGCGCAAGAATCGAGATGGCAGTACTTTCTCTTCAGCTTTTTGTTGCTGCTAGGCATACGCTATGCCAGTAGTACGCCCACCGAGGAGCACGCCTTCCTTGGAACTGCTCGAAGCGTTTGCCAGTCTGTCGATCAACCAAACCCAATCGCAGCATTGTACCCGAACAATGCGACAGGAACACTGAACGGCACAATTTCAGTACTACCAATTCCATTGGAACTTGCCCGCCAACTCATCCCGTCGAATACCAAAATTCTGGAACACGCCTACCGACATCTCCTGCCTTGGTTCCCGGAGGGCATGTATCCGGCCATACTTCAGGCAGTGCACGACCACGACGTACAAGCTTCGGGATTCCACGTACCCGATTTTTCGGTAAGTACTTGTTCGCACTTGCACGCGTAGCCAGCGCTGACATGATTTAGCGCGCGGGCATTGAGTTTCCCTTTCTCGACCTCCTCGGCGACGGAAGCACGTCGTTCAGATGGGTGCCATCCATGCTCATGTCAGCTGACAATGCCATCGCTCTGAAAGGTGCAGCTGACTACGGCACCAACACGTTCCCCGCATCCTTTGATCCCTCCTGCGACGCCTACCGCGCGGTCCCCGACGCCAAAGACCCTGGAACGACTTTCTTCGGCGCCCAAAGCGTAAATTCCAGCGCTGCGTCCATTACGTCGGAATTTTCCCTCACGGATGAGGAATCGCTTCTTCCGATTAGCTTCTTCGTAAATGTCACCAACCAGGTCATCTTCGCTGATGGCAAATCTTGCGATAACATGATCCGCCTCTTCAACACCAGCGTCACCACTGCCCCCAACAAGATCGAGCGCGTCAAAGGAAGCGTTCGCGCCAAGATCTCGCCGTTTAAGGAGGATCAGTACTGGCAGGATGTTTGCGGTATCCGGCTAGACACCGCCTTTATCGAGAACAACTACCTGCCCTGCGAAAACTTCCGCGGCTACGGAACTGGGTAGGACTAGGCGCGATAGAAAAGCATTTAGAAAGCGGGAACATTTGAGGAGGAAATCTTTTGAGATGTGGCGTGTCTGTCTTTGTAAGAATAGACACACGATCACTACTACGGCTTTGTTTTTTTGGCTAAAAAACAGCGGAATCTTTGCGCGCGCGAAACGATACCCTTTTTTGCGCTACGACTATTTGGCGAGCAAGCAAGCAGTACGATTTGTATATAGTTTGAAAATGAATGGATATCTTGATTCATCAATTAGAATTTTCTTGATACACATGCACCGCCACAATTACAACTACAACTATCCCCAGAAACCAATTCACTCCAAGAAATCTCCCCTCCAGCCCATCTTCTTACCCTGCGCTGCTCTGCATCTTCCCACATCACCCTGCGCCGCCCACGTATCCACCCATGCGTGCGCATACGTACACCCATACTCTCACACCATCCTCACACCATCTTCACACATGCTCACTACTTACACAACTACCGAGACCAATTACCTACATCAAGCACTTCCCAGCCGGGTCGACGCGACGCAACAACCCTACCTCAAGGCTTACTCCATCCCCCCTGGCCGGTCGCATCTTTCTTCTGTTCTTCATTCCGTCCTCCTTCCGCTGCTTACCTACCTCGTAATCACCCAATTGGGGAATGTCGGTCGTAATCCGTTTAGAATTTGGGGTCTCCTTGCGTCGTGGTACGAAGAATTGCCTGCCCCCAGAACCCGTGCTAATCCCCAATGCCGGAATACGCGTCTGAGGGATGGCAAATGCCGAATCTATCCTTGTCTGTGCTTTGTGTGTCTGTGTGTGAGACAGCCAAACTCGGTAATGCGGGGAGGAACAGGCCACGATGCAGCAACGTAGGCATGAAACCGACGTCATGCATGATGGTGTCTGCGCACGGAGGTTTTTGGGCTGGGGAGATGCATGGAGGAGGTAGGTGTAAGGCATGACATTTTCTTTCTCAAGAAAGGTTGGTGGGATTGGTGGGATTGTGTAATTTGGTGTAGGGATGGAGAGAGGGAGAGGTATAGTTGTGGTTTCAGCTGTGGAGATTGTGTAGAGGGTTTTTGATACTACTATTTACTAGTAGTGGTAGCAGTGACAGCTACGATATACACGTAGAACAACAAGCACATCTCCCACGAAATTCGGGGTATGAAACTTAATTCCATATTCACACCCTCCACGACCTACTTCCCCAACATCGCCTTCACTCTCCCCAGCTTAGCCAACACCACACCCTTCAACCCCCCTGCAGCCATCGCAGGCACCTCATCCACGCCCACAAACCTCCGTACCAGGATGTTGAAAATATTGCCAAAACCCAGCGCCATGACTGTACTAGTAAGAATAATGACGTTATACGGCATACTGAAATCCGGCGTGGGGAGAGGAAGCAGCAACGAAGTCGTACGTATGTAAACGCCCTTTTCGTCTCCAGTTTGGGGAGACAGGATACGAATAACAGCAGGCGCAACATCGAAGCCTCGATTTGCATCTGGCGGGTACTCTGTGTATCTCAGGATAGCCTTTTCAAAGTCGTAGGTGAGTGTTAGAGTGGAGCTAGGGGGGATGACCATGCGGAGTTCGAGGTGGGTGCCGCGTTTGCGGTCGACGGCGGGGCGGTAGTAAGTTTCCCTAATTGGGCTCTCGTCTGTGGTGTCGACGTGGGCTTTTAGGGTGTGGAGGTAGGGCTTCATGAACCAGGGGAGAGACTCCAGGTAGACGAGTTCTACGGCTTCGGTGGCGGAGGGATTGCGGATGACGGCTTGGGTGCTGCCTCGCTCTTGGCCGTGGCCGTTGATGGATCTTGCGGCGAAGACTAGAGGGTCCGGGCGGACGAGGCCGGTTGTCATTTTTTGCTCTGGGAGGACAAGGTCGAAGTCTGTGCCGATGGGGAGTTTATAACAGCGTAGTGTGTCTGATGCTAGTCTGGACTCACTGAAGTAACCAGTGGTATTTACTTCGACGGTGCGTTCCGGAGGTGTGTTGATGCAGAAGTTGCTGGTCTCGATTCCACTGTTGTCGATCAATGGACAGGCTCCTCTAAGCGGTCTTCCAAAGACCTCCTCTAATGTCCACCCAGGCTCGGTGCCCTTGTGTAGTGGGTAACAGGTATCATGTGCATTATAGTGCTTTGAAGTGTCGCATTCCATTTGCTCGATTGGAAGAGGTCGCGGAATTGGGTTGTCTTTTGGGCGCTTGGCTCTTGCAATGTCCAGAACCATGTCCACACTCTGCTCTATTTCGATTGAACAGCTAGAGCTACCCTCTTCGCATGTTGGACGCACGTCTATAGCCATAGTCTGGAATGACGCATCGAATAGCTTGTGTCCGTCCAGAAGGCTGGATACACCTGCCTTTCCCTTGCATGGTAACAGCTTTAGGAAAGGTGTCAGGTTCTCGGTACAGACGACTTCGTGGGGAAGCGTGCCGTGAAGAAGATGGAGGTTCGATGTGTTCGAGTGCTGACCTTCGGGGTCAAATGACATGACGGGACGTATAGTCTTGGTAGCATCGATGAAGTTGATAGAGGCACAGAAGAGGCCAGACAAGGCATTGGTGAGCTTCAACCATCGGGCGAATGCTCTGTTCTGGTCAGCGCAAGTCTTGTACGTATTCACAGAAGCCATACTCGTCCTCATTGCCGGCTTCCACCCAGGCCCACAGCTCGACACCTGTGCCTCCTTCTCTTGCTCCGCTCCATGGCCGCTGGCCCCAATTCTCAGCATCCCATCGACCAACACTAAATCTCAGGTGGAGTTCCTTTGTATGCGCATGTTGCAGAATTTGTCCAAAGGATCGCGGAAAGTAGCGGAAGTTCTGCTGTTCGAATGCAGCTGCACTCTCGTTACTCCGGAAATTGAACGAGGCCAAAAGAGTGTCCTGAGGAAGAGGGCGGAGGAGAAGTCGCTCGCTATAGTCTGAGCCAGCAGTGACGGATGCTACTAGGCAATTGAGCAACAAGAAGAAAAGAGACGAGAGCATTTCAGCATTGTAGCGCTCCCTACGCAAGAATGACAGCTGGCGGCCGAGGTTTGATGGTGCGAAGTGAGGGTGAAGGGCGACGCACGTGTGATCGGCCGGGCGCCATGGGTACTTGGCACTGCCGCGGTCGCGATTTCTTTTGACAATACACTCACCCTACCAGCTCTCCACATCACGGCTCCACCAATCAACAACAAACGGTAGACATCATGGCTGCCGCAGAGACGCGTCGACTACTTGGTATGTTTAATTCCTGAGATTAATTGTGCGCCCCTACTAACAGTATTCCAGAGCAGCTTATGGGTGAGCAGCTTATGAGCGGAACCGACCAGCGCGCGCCTCAGCTTCCAATCACCGACCCCAAGGTCTGCCGCTCCTATCTTGTCGGAAACTGCCCTCATGATCTCTTCACAAACACTAAGAACGAACTGGGGCCCTGCCCTAAGGTGCACAACGAAGCGCTCAAGGCCGAGTATGCCGACGCCAGCGATGATCAGAAGCGCAGATGGGGCTTTGACTTCGACTATATGCGCGACATGCAGCATCACATTGACAGTTGCAACCGCAAGATAGAGTCCGCCCAGCGCCGCTTAGAAAAGACGCCCGAGGAGATCCGACAGACCAACGCTCTCGTAAGTAGCTTGGACCGCTAGCTTGGACTTTACACTAACACTACCCAGCTCAAAGCCATTCACGAACTCGAGAAATCAATCGAAGCCGGCATGCTCGAGATTAAAATCATGGGCGAGGAAGGCATGGTTAACATGGCCGTGCAGGAATTTACAAAGATCCGCTACAAGAAGGCGGAAAAGGAAGAGCGTGAGCGCGAGCTTAGGGCCCTTTCGGATACTGGCGGTCCCTCTGGGCACCAGAAGCTTCAAGTATGCGATGTTTGCGGTGCGTATCTTAGTCGGTTGGACAATGATCGTCGTCTAGCAGACCACTTTTACGGCAAGATGCATCTTGGCTATGCCCAAATGCGCAAGTCTTACGATGCCCTGACCAAGGAGCTCAAGGACAGGCCGCAACCCGGCCGCAACTCATACACTCCCTCGGGTGGCGACATGGACCGAGGCGGCGGCGGTGGAGGATGGGGAGGTGGCGGTTACGGAGGCGGCGGTGGCTTCCGCGGCGGGCGAGGAAATCGTCGTGGTGGTGGCAGAAGAGGCGCTTGGTAATCTTCTCTGGATTTCGGCGTTAAGGTGTGTGTATATGCGATTCCCAAAATGCGTGGCTTACTACAGACTCTTCCGCGACTATGCGGTAACTGTACCACAACTGCCGACTTTGGAGCCCCAAAGGGCAATTTGAGTCTTGAGACAGTCCAATCAGAAATGTACGCTTTCTCCAACATGCAACTTGACATGCTTCTAACCATCATCAAGGGATTCATGTGCGACTGCCGAGCTCTATCGGACAACACTGACCTTTTTTTCTGTTTGTCACCCTCATAGGTGAGTAGCGGCTGTTGTGACTTGCGACCATACGCATGCTTTTTTTTTGAGGTTTCGACGTCCACATGCACAAGGAATGCTTACTAGATGTGATCCTTTTGGGATCTCTTTCTCGCATTGCGTGTCATGGTAAGTCATGAACACGGGCGTCTCAATCCACGTTTCTGTACTGGTCATTACGTAGTTCCTTGGAACACTGCTGGAGACAAAGTTGAAACACCTAATTCCCGAAGCTTTCTTGCTGGGTTGTACAATCCCCCTCGTGCTCTACGCCTCTGGAATGTATCTTGGCTAAGAAATTTGCCATTTCAAATCTACGTCTCCCTTTCTTGAGGCGAATCAACCGAGGAACTATAGACTTTGTAGTATATAATACCACGGCCACGCCAAACTTGTCATCATTTTCACTTTGCAAGCAGACTGTACAACTCATCATGCATCCTCTACTTCTATTCAGCGTCCTCATCACCACCTTAATCCACCAAGCCACCGCACTGAGCCGTAGAGCCCCAACACACATCGCAAGTGAGTTCCCACATCTCCAAGGCAAAAGAGAGACCTTGACTCACAAACCCCCCACAGTAACCCCCAACTTCCTCCCCCTCACAACCGTCCCCTACGCCCACCACCTCATCCCGCCTTCGTCCCTCCACCTTGCCCACCACCGCCACAACAACACCAACAACTCCACCATACATGCCCGTCAACGCCCCTTCCCCACCGCACCCCTCCAAATACCTCTCCTCACCCTCGGCGGGCGCATCTACATAACCACCATAACCATCTCCTCGCAGCTCTTCTCCGTTGTGCTTGACACAGGTAGCTCAGACACCTGGGTCACTTCCTCCTCTTTTCGCTGTCTCGATTCAGTATCCTACGCCGTCATTGATACACAGTACTGTGGTTTTAACCGCACTTTTGACACGAGCAGTTCAAGGACGTGGAGGGAGGTGGAAGGGTGGCAGTTTGGTGTTAACTATACTGGGGGAGAGTTTCTTGTTGGGGAGTTGGGGTGGGATATCTTAGGTGTGGGTGGGGATGGAGGAAAGGGAAGACTGAGTGTTAATCAAACGGTGGGGGTTGTGGAGAGTGAGTTTTGGGTTGGTGATGGTATTAGTTCTGGACTCATGGGGTTGGCGTATTCGGCGTTGGTGAGTGGGGCGAGGGAGTTGAGGTATAGGAGTGTTATGGTCAGTCTGTGAGTTTTTCGTCTCCTTGCTTCTCTTCATTCCCACATGTCTCCAGTAACAAAAACAAAAAAATAAATACAAAAAATAGTGGGCCCACCGCGGATCGAACGCGGGTCTCTCGCAATTCGGCATGGGGGGGAAGTGGAGGGGAGGAAGGGAGGGGAAGGGGATTGAATGCGAGTATTCTGCCACTGAACTATGGGCCCTTGGTTTGTGTACTTTGATGGAAGAATGTGCGTTTGTTATGAATATATACCTTCTTTCTTTGAAGGCTTAGTTATGGTGAAATGGGCACGGCGATCACACGGAGATCAAGTTTGCTAATGTGTATGGCGATGTTAGAACACAAGCAACATCCCAACCCCAAATCTTCAGCCTGGCACTCGACCACACTACAGACGGAAACTCCAGTCCAGGCGGCCAGCTAGCTATCGGTGGTATACCTAACGTGCAGCATGATGGCAACTGGGTCACCGTGCCTATCCAACCGATTGCGAAAAACGTCTACGCATATTACGCTATCAACATCGATGGCTTCGATATCACATCACCAATATCTTCTCCGTGACAACACAAGCGAAAACCCAGCTTCTTAAAACGCACATGGGGCATCCTCACAACCTGGACTTCCACCTCCACCTCCACCAAACGCTCCATCATATCCTCCCCCACCCTCACAATCCTCGACTCCGGATCCTCTCTCTTCTAACTGCCTGACGAAATCGCTGATCGCATCGCCTCGCTCTTCAGTCCACCTGCTGTGTTCAATGCGAATGCTGGGACATGGGTTGTTGCTTGCGATGCAGCTGCGCTCCGGGTGGGTATTGTTATTGACGGCTAGAGCTTCTACATTGCTGAGGATGATTTAATGAATCGGGGTCCTGGGGCGGCTGGTGGGCCGGGTGTGGGTGCGTCTGAGGGCATGTGTGTGCTGGCTACGCAGAGGGCGGGTGGAGGTAGTTGTGTACTAGGCGATAGTTGGTTGAAGGGGGTGCTTGTTGTTTTTGATTTGGGGGGGAATGAAGTTAGTGTTGTTGGGAGGAGTTATTAGGTGGGATAGTGGGAGAGGGGATGGGCTGGGCTGGGTTAGAGGGACGGGAGGGGGTGTTTGTTTAGATCATAGCATGGTAAAGGAAAGAGAGTTGACGATTATTTGAAAAAATCCCATCTTTCCTACGATACCGTCTGCTCTGCTCTACCTTTCGTCTTGCCATATGCTCCTCCAGCCAGCTTCCTCATCTCCAGCGCCCTCTTGTACGGTGGTGCGGTAGGCGGCTGTACAGGATCAAGACTCACTCTGTCTTTGGGTAGATGATATGTTGCATCTGAATCGTAAGCCGAAAGATCACCACAAGCAAGGAATGGTGCTATCCATCGCTGGCCGCCTTCCTCGATGTCTTCCTCATCGTCGCTTTCATCACCAAGATCTATTTCGATGGCGCCGTCGTCCCTCACATGTCGTAAAATCTTCTTTTCCAGTTTCGTAGTCTCTGACTTTTCTGGGCTGGGTAGTTGAGTTCCTGCACCGAGGGGCTTATCGAGGCTTGCAGTGAAGCCCTTTGGTGGGCAGAAACCCTCACATACGACAAAGGCTTCGATGCTGCTTGCGCGACTACTTCTTGGTTTTGCGACGCGGACCCGCTCGAAGACGATTTTGAGTTGGGCAAAGAGGAGATCGACGTCTTTGCCCCGGAAGATCTTGGCAACAAATTTGCCCCCGGGTTTGAGCACGCAGAGAGCGAGGTTGAGCGCGGCCCAGAGAAGCTGACTTTGTACGTAAATGTCTAAGTCGTGTAGGCCGGTTACATCAGGTGCGCCGTCTGAGATGACGAGGTCGACGGGTGAAGAGCCAGTTGTTGCATTGGGGTCATAGGTATCTGGGTCGAGGGCCTTGAGCATCAGTGGGATAGTTGAGGGATGCGTTATATCGGCGCGCATAGTCGTTACGCCTTCAAGTGGGCTCATAGGTTGGAGGTCGATGGCGACAATGCGTACTCCCTCCCTTGGTTTCGACTCTTCCGCCTTGACCTCAACGTCTCCCTTCTTTTCTGTCGTCGCGACCTTCTTATCCAGACCCAAGACTTGATCCCGCATTGCAGCTTGCTTCTCTTGCCATCCCGCTCGCCCAAATTTCTCGCCCTTGATGAGCACGCGCGATAGCACCTGACTCCAACTTCCTGGTGCTGCACATAGATCCACGACTCGTGTGACGCCTTCGAATAGATTGAATTCTTCGTCCAGCTGTAATAGTTTGTACGCTGATCGTGCCCGCCATCCCTCCTCTTTTGCTAGCCTATAGTACGCATCACGCTTGTCTTTTGAAGATTTTCCCATGATATCTTTGTGATATCTACTCGCTGTTCCTGACTCTTGCTATACCACTCACATCCAAATGTAGTGAGTCGGTTTTCCAAGTTGGGTCTTGAGACCCCGTTGTTGATTTTGAGTCTTTGAGGATCAATGGCTGCGGTACATGTCCAACATGCAGCAAGATAATCGCAGAAGTCGTCACGGATTTTCTGCTTAATATTTCCTAGGGGTTCACTGTAATTTGCAGATAAGGTTGTGAGTCGCACATGAAGTGCGGGCGTTACCATTCAGGTTAGACCGACAGAAAGAGCCAGGCGATCGAAGTGGGGCGAGCGGACTCCCGAACGCCGACAAGTTTTCCAAAAAGTTTACCAGCGAAAACGACACCTCGAACTTTTTGCGCCAGCACCCAATTCGCAATAATAGCCACGATGAAACGACCTCATGCTGCACCCAAGAAAGGCGCGCTGAAAGCGCAAAAACGCCAAAAGGTCGAAGATTTCCCCAAACCTCTACCGTCGAAACCGAAGCGCAAAGTTCAACTCAATGAGCTAGGATGGAAGACGGTGGAAATGCCCGATCGCTTGGATGATACGGAAGGGTTTTATGGGCTTGAGGAGATCGAAGATGTTATGATTGTCAAGGATCCTACAACCGGTAACCTTACATTTGAGACTACGAAGACCGAAGAGGAAGTCGCAAGAGATGTAGAGGAAGCGTGGCAACGGGAAGAAGAAGAGGCCCAGCGCCTGGAGAAGATAACATTTGGCAAGGATCAGGCGCCTGAGGACGAAGACACTGCCGATGAGAAAGTTGCGGAGGATAAAGCTGAAGTCGCAATACAAGCCGAGGACAAAGAGTTAGCCTGGGAGGGATTTAGCGACGACGATGACAATGTGCAAACAGAAGAGTCAGGTCAGGCTGCGAAGACAGTAAAGACACCAGATACCACGCAGGAACCCGGGACACAGAAATTAACAAAGACCGAGAAGAAGAAGAGGGCCAAGGAAGCAAAGTTGAAGAAGCTGGAGGAGGAGAAGGCAAGCGCAAAACAGGCCGCCGCGAACGGAGCCGCAAAAGAGAGCGAAGATGACAAAGAAGAATCGGATATAGAAGATCGCGAAGACGGCGAGACTTTTGGACCCGGCGCGTTTGATATATTAGCTAACCAGCCCGACGATGACGATGAGGACGTTTCCGCATGGGACGAGTTGGAGCTGTCCGAAGAGATGCTAGGCGCACTGGCCAAGCTCAAGTTCTCAAAACCGACCACCATCCAAAAATCTACTATACCCGAGATTTTGGCCGGAAGAGATGTCATTGGCAAAGCTTCGACTGGTTCGGGAAAGACGCTTGCGTTTGGTATCCCAATTGTAGAGTCGTACCTCGCCTCCAGATCATCAGCCTCAAAAGAACCAGAAGACAAGATGCCTATCGCACTTATTATCGCGCCCACCCGTGAACTTGCACATCAGATCAACGCCCATCTCATTGCGCTTTGCGCAAAAGGCGATTTCGACCCTCCATATATTGCGTCCATTACCGGTGGTCTTTCCGTTCAAAAGCAGCGCAGGCAACTTGAGAAGGCGGACATCGTTGTGGGTACCCCGGGTCGACTTTGGGAAGTCATCAGCGATGGACAAGGCCTGTTGCGGAAGTTCAAGCAAATCAAGTTTCTCGTTGTGGATGAAGCCGATCGTCTGTTGAGCGAGGGACACTTCAAGGAAATGGGGGAGATTCTCAAGGTCTTGGAGCCCGACGATGTGACAGATGAGAATGCCGAATCGGACGAAAAAGAAGAGATCAAGCGCCAGACCTTGGTCTTCTCTGCGACTTTTGGAAAGGACCTCCAGAGGAAGCTTGCTGGCAAGGTCAAGGGAGGCGGCTCAGATCTTATGAGCCAGCAACAGTCCATGGAGTATCTTTTGAAGAAGCTTCAGTTCCGCGAAGAGAAGCCCGTCTTTATCGATGCCAATCCAATGTCACAAATGGCCAGCAAACTACAGGAAGGACTCATCGAATGCGCTGGAACCGAAAAGGATCTCTACCTCTACTCCCTACTCATGTTCTATACGAAAAAGCGCGCTCTGGTCTTTACTAACTCAATATCCGCTGTCCGGCGCATAACGCCTTTCCTCACGAACCTCGCCCTCCCAGCTCTCCCCCTACATTCCAACATGCCCCAAAAAGCTCGTCTCCGCTCTATTGAACGATTTAAGGAACGACCAGGTTCTATCCTTGTCGCCACAGACGTCGCTGCACGAGGTTTGGATATTCCGCGGGTGGAGCTAGTAATCCACTACCATCTCCCCCGTGCTGCGGATACATATGTCCACAGATCTGGTCGTACTGCGCGTGCAGAAGCGTCGGGAGCTAGTATCCTAATTTGCGCTCCGGAAGAAGTAGCAGGTGTAAGACGACTAGTCGCCAAAGTACATGCCCGTGCCAGCGACGCGCCGAAGTCGAAGAAGACGGCGTTCTTCATCCGTACCTTGGATATCGATCGCCGTATCGTCTCACGCTTGAAGCCTCGCGCTACTATTTCGAAGCGGCTAGCAGACACGGTCATTGCAAAAGAGAAGAAGCATAGTGAAGACGATGTACTACGCCGAGCAGCGGAGGATCTGGGTGTTGACTACGACAGCTCCGAATTTGAAAAGGAAGCAAAGGGCAAGCGGGGACGTGGCAGCGGGAGAAAGAAGAAGGAGAAGGAGGCCAGTGAAATGACGAAGGCCGAGATGCAGGCTCTAAGAGCGGAACTTAAGAGTTTGCTTAGCCAGAGGATTAACACTGGTGTCAGTGCGAGATATCTCACTAGCGGCGGTATAGATGTTGATGCTCTAGTCGCCGGGGAGGGCAATATGGAGTTTTTGGGTAACCTGGATGGACTCGGGTTTGACGATATGTGAGGGGTGGTTGTCATAGTTGAAGTATATAATTCCTGGCGATTTGTAAGCCAATGAAAACACTTGCTGCCTAAATGGGTATCTGTTGTGGGTGACGTAGTGTGTTTATGTTGGACTTTCTACCGCTACACTACTATATAAAAGTTCCTTTCCCTTCCACGTCCCTCCAGCACAACGATATTCGATTGCTAGTTGCTGTGCCGTTCAGCGCACCGAGAAGACAAACATGGCCGACACCACCAGCAAGATGAAGAAGCCCAAAGATCCCGGAACTGAAGAACACAAAGACAACAGCCCACTCAGCGACCCTGCCACATCCGCCACATCCACAAAAACCTTTCATGCCACGCCTGACCCCCGAGAATCCCTCCACCTCCCCCTTTTTCTCGTCCTCCCCATCATCTACACTCTTCTCCACCTACTCATCATGCCCTCGCCGCGGCCCCTCCTCTCACGCACCTTCCTCCTTCCCCTCTTCACCATCATCATCGCCAGCAGCCTTGCCGACGTACACTGGACGCACAAGCTGTGCATCTTGGCCGTGAACAAGCGAATCGGGGAGGCCCTCAACCGGCGCGCGGCAGTGTATGAGGAAACTTCTGAGTTTACGAAACGGGCTGTGGAGAAGCTGGATGAGGTGAAGACAGCGTATACGAGGGATTGGATAAAGTTGTGCAGGTACCAGAGTAGTGCTGAGTTGGCTGTGTTGAGGTGTACTACGACGAGTTTGGAAGACATGGTGAGGCTGCTGAGGGTGTTGGGTGACAAGGAGGGTGGTGGGAGTGGTGGGAAAGGCAGTGGAGATGGATGTGGCAAGCATAGGAATCGTACCGGTGGCGGTGTCAAGAAGAGCAAAGGTGATACTGGAACTGCGATGGCATTGTCGAACGCAGACCAGATTGCGGCAACGGAGGAGCGCATCAAGGAGTTGAAGAAGGATATCGTCATTGCAGAAAAGGTGGAAGCGCTGTATGAGAGAGAGGATCTTGAGATCGAAGAGATAAGGCTGCTTGTGGAGAAGGAGGAGGAGAAGATACGGACCGTTGACAAGGAGGATAAGAAACTAAAGGTACAGCTTCCGACCTTGGATATGCGGACCCATACGACTGTTGAGAAGCTTATGCGGTCAAAGGGAGTGCAAGAGGCGCTGGATAAACAGTATGAAGAGTTGGATACGTTCTTGCAGGGTTTTGCGAATACATCAGGGTTTATAGGAGAGGAAGAAGACATGTATGACGGCTTAAGCTTTGAGGAGCTGAACAATGTGTAGATGGTGGGTTGTACTCAGGTATCATCACTGTAGGATGATGGAACGACCGGAGACTTTCATGACCGGGATATGAACATACACAGTTGCTAAAATCAACTTTCAGCCAACTCAACTAACCCATTTTCATGATATCCTTCATCATGAGTTCTTCTCCATCCACCCACTCACCCACTCCCAAATTTCCTTACTATTCTTCTCCAAAAACATAAAATGTCCATTCCCCCTCATCCCCACATCCTCCAACCTCAAATGTTCTACCCCCACAACACCCGCCTGTCTCAAAAACGCCACAGTACACTGATCATAAACTGCATGATACCCCGACTCAGACGTAACAACCAGCATCTTCAACACCTTCAAATTAACCAACTGTCTCGGCGGCGGACTCCTCGCCTGCAATAAACACCTCACCGTCTTATTCCCATTCCCATTCCCGCCCTTCGCCCCCTCCTCCTCCAGCACAACCTCCTCCCTAACCAACTCAACCCCCGGATTTACAACACGCGGCTCATACGCAACCGGCACATCAGCGACCCCCCACTTCCTCGCTGCCTTATCGCCAAACACCGCATCCCTAAACGGCGGCCCCGTAGGCTCCAACAACACAAGCCCCTTCACGGCCTGCGGTCTCGCATCCGCAATAAGCGGCGCCATAAGCCCACCTTGACTATGACCAACCAACCACACCGGCCTCCCAATCCGATCCAACAGCGCCGCTCCCGCTGCCTGAACAGCGGTCTGCTGAGCTGTCGCGTTTGCAATAAACGGCACGTTTGACGCGTAAAAGGCGTCGAAGATGGCGTCGCCCATGATGCCTGCTCCGGGCCACTGCGTGTACAGTTTGGCTTGCGGCCAGAGGTTTGAGCGCTGTGGGGCGGTGAAGCGGGATTCGATGTATTCGGCGGAGTAGGTGGATAGTTGTGTTGTGGTTCCTGGTGTTACGGCAGATCGTCCTCGTGCTGTTTGGTCTAGGATGTAGACTGTGTGACCGGCTTCTAGGAATTGAGATGCCCAGCCGCGGTTGCCATCGGGCTTGTTGAGGAAATTCGTGCCGGTTTGGGCTTGGCCGTGGATAAGGATCACGGGAACTGGCGTGGTGGTGTCGTTGTTGATGTTTTTGTAGTAGATCGTACCGGGGTTGTTTATGGGTGAGAGCTTCTCAACGTACATTTGGTTGGCGAAGATGTGGCCGCCATTATTATCGGATATGTAATTGCCGCCGACGTAGAAGTAGGATCGGATGGCCGGGGTTTCGTGGGGTATGGAATTGTTATTTTGTGGTGCCGCTGTGACAGCGAGGAATGCAAGTATTTGTAGGAATATCATGGTCGTGGTTGAGAAATATTGATATTTCTGATAAGGTGGAGTGAATGGCTCCGGGTGTAGTATTATAGTGTCGTAAGTAACCGATCGGTTTATTTTTCTCCCCGCCAATTATCCCTTCTTTCTCTGATTCTTTCTCTCTTACCAATGGAAGTCATGAAACGTCTTTAGCTTACGTAGGTGTTCTAACATAAGTTTTCGGGTCGCCTTCCTGGTACAAGTTCATTACAGCCACCATGCGGGGTGAGGCGTGGGTTTTCCGCGGAAGCTGCCTATTGCAGTGTACCTTGTTCGCCCTACAGGGGTCATATGCAACCACGAAATGTCATCACAATTCTTCCGTACTTCCAAACAAGAAGCTTGCCAAAAGTTGCTTAACCGATGATACATATTTTGCTTTGGGTATGTAGATGCCGAATGACTGTGTATGCGCACTTTAGTCTACATATTAATGCTTGCCCAGATAGATAAAAGTTCACACAAACAATACCCAAACACCTTTATGAATCAAATGACCAACCATCATGAAAACGTAAAACTAGTGATATTCATAAACTACATAACCACCCCACATCGTTTTTAGTCGTCACAACATGAAAAAGAATAAGATGATCCATGTGCTTCCAAAGTGCCCGAACAAATCAAAAGCAGGATGGGGCATCATCAATCCAACCCACACCTATATCATGAACCCCAAGATTTTTATGTTGGTGACGCCGCACCTGTCAGAACGTTCACCGCTCTTGGTATTCCCATATTCCCCCCAGTATAGTCAGTTTTTTGTACATGTACAGTTGTTTAAGAGCGGTCTCGGCGGCCACCGTTACCACCCTTGGAGACAATGTCGAGGATCAGCTTGCGAGCCTCCTCGCAACCGTCTTTGGTACCGACAATCTCAATGGCCTCATCCTTGGCCTGGTCACGGGGGACTTGGATCTTGGTACCCGTCTTCTTGCGAAGATCGTTGATGGTGGCACCTCCAGGTCCGACAACGAGCCTGTGATATATTAGTGATAATTCATCAAGTTATGAGGACGTAAGAAACTTACCTGTAGCTTCGAGGGTCGGGCAGGATGAGGTAACCAGTAGAGGAAGGCTTGGAAGCAGCCTCAATGGCCTGCTCAAGCCTCTGGCGGGCCTTGGACAAGCTCTCAGTAGGACCGCGTAGGATCCAGGGGATGGTAGCCGTAAGATCGGCACCCTCCTCAGGTGCATTGTTGTCGACAATCTCCCATGAGTGCTCATCGGCTCCTGAGGTAGCATCGTCGGTGATCAAAGGCAGAGCGCCGTTGGCACCCTTCCTAGCCTTTCCAGCTTCGGTCTGCGCAGGCTTGGGAGGAAGCTGTTCACTGCCATGGTCGACAGTAACCTTGAGCTGGTTGCGGAGTTGACGGAAGAACTGGCCGTTGTCTGAGATGGTGTGGTGGAGGTATCGTGGGACCTGGATAGTCTCGCCTTCCTGGCCCTTAACGAGCTCGAGAATGTGCTCCTTGGCCTTCTCGACAGCGGCAGGCTCACCAGTAATCTTGACCTGACTACGGGCTGCGCCAGTCGTTGTCTGCTTGGGGATATCCAACTGGATGTTGAGCTGCGATTCAAGAGAGCGACGTGTCTCGCCACCACGACCGATGAGCAGACGGTGCTTGTCTGGAGAGATCTCAATGGTCTCGCTAGTCTGGTTCTCCAACGAGGCCGCCTGTGCCTTCAATGCAGCAATGATCTTCTCGACCACAGTCTTAGGGCCTTCTACGCGGATAGTCGATTCATCTGACTCTGCGCGAGGGAATCGCACCATACGGGCCAAATCACGAGAGTTGTCTGGTCCGCCGGCTGAAGTAACAATGGAGCGAATGTTTGCGCCGCTGCCTCCAATGAGGTTCCTGTGGTGCTTCCTGTCCACGTCAAGAGTCTCAACAACAGTGTCATCAAATTCCCGAGCACGCTGTTGGAGGATCTTCTTTGCCTCTTCAACAGCCTTCTTGGTACCCTTGAGCTTGATCTCTGCGCGACCAGAAGGATCAGCGCCCTCACGGGCGCCAGGAACATCAATCTGGCAGCCGGTCTCCAAGCGGAGGTTCTCCATCTCGCGACCACCTGATCCAATCAGTCGCGGGATGTTGCTCTGCGCAACCGAGACAGTGTCGGTATGTGAGTTGTCCATGAGGTACTGCAGCAGACTGAGCACCTCATCACGAGCCTCGTCAGCACCCTTCCTGGGTCCGCGGATGATGACCTCATCCTGGTTCTGACCACTACGAACGTTCTTCTGTGACGATGCTTCACCAGCCTCGTCATCGTTTTGCGCTCGTCGGGGGAAGTTGATGCGCACACTGTAACGGTCCTGAAGACGCTCAACTTGTTTACCACCGCTGCCGATGAGGTCACGGTGGTATTGGGGCTTGACCTTTAGGATGTGAGTAGCCTCGTCCTCAAGCTTCTTAGCCATGTCAAGGATATCCTTCTTGCATTGTTGGGCCTTGGCAGAAGGTCCCTTGAGCTCAACCTTGCCATCGTTGATCTGAACATCGACATCGTACTTTTGGCGCAGACGCTGAATGTTCTCTCCACCCTTGCCAACAAGATGGCTTGCATACTTTTGTGGGTAGTCGAAGGCGGTGACATGGTTGCGCTCAAGCTCATCCTTCTCAGCTTGCTCAATGAAAGCAAGAATCTTAGCGTTGAGCTCGTCAACCGCGCTCGCAGGTCCACGAATGGCAAAGCTGTTATTGGACTGGCTGTGGGCCTCAGGCCGTCGTTGGCCGAACAAAGCCTGGACAGGGACTTGGTCAGGAGTAAGTCCCTTTTGTGAGTCGTTGACAAACTGCTCAATCTTGCGATGGAACTTGGGGTTGGACTCAAGACCACGGGCTTCGATTTGTGGTTGGTCCTTGGTCAGGCCAAGGATGTATTGCTGAGCGTCGCGCAGACCTTGCTGGTATGCTTTGATCTCAGCTGGAGAGGGTGCGCCGCGCGGAATAGCATATTCCTCATATGGAGTCTGGCCTTCGTAAACGAGGACTAATTCTGGTGATTGCTCAGACTCGTCGGGGAAGACAATGTGCACACCGTGGTCCTGTCGAACCTTTGGTGCGTTACGCTGGCGCAGGAACTGGTGGTAGAAAGGATCTACGTTCATGGTAGCAAACCTGCTGGGAGGGTGAGACGCAAAGACACTCATGATGTCTCCACGAGCCTTCATGCTGTTCTTGCCGTCACGCGCATAAATCTCCCAGCCAGTGGGGGCGTCGCGGTCAGTGGGAACGACGATACTGGCCTCGTGCTTGCGCTCAAGGTCAGCCAAAGCCTTGCGTTGACGTAAGTAGCGGGTGATGTTGTGTGCATGTGCTTGAGCATTAGGACCCCTGTGCTCGCGAGCAGCGTCAGCAGTGGCCATGGTCATGCTGGCGGCGAGGTCCTCGAGTTTGTTAATACCCTGCTCAATCTTATTGGGTGGGCCAACAATATAGACAGTCTCGCTATCATCCGAGCTAGGAGGCATGACGATGCTGCAGCCAGTCTCCTCCAAGAAGTCATGGAGAGAGTGGCCCCGGTCACCGACGATGAACTGGTGCCTACCACGCTCGATGGATCGCTGCTCAATAGCCAATTGCTGGCGGAGCTGCTGAGCACGGCGTTCGAGTTCAGCCTGTAGCTCCTGGGCAGCGGCGCGGTCACCAGAGATCTGAATGGGGAAGTTGGCCTGGGGAGCAAAAGGAACGGGTTGGCCTCGGGAGGCCTGAGGGGGAGCCTGCGACTGCCAGGTGTGGTAGGTTGGGATCTGGATGTTCACGTCACGACCCTGCACAAGCCTATCAGTATGAACGTTGTTCGGGCCTGCGAGGAAAGGATAGAACTCGGCAGGGATGTCCTTGAGGCGGAGGTTGACAGTCGAGGTGCGTTCGTTGACAATAGCATCAATCTCGCGACGAGCCATCTCAGCCGTCAAAGCATTGCCCTCGATGTGCACGTTGATAATGGTATCCTCATCCTCACCCGCTTCGGGCTTGGGGACGTTGATGCGGGCACCGGTGCGCTTGCTGATTTCCTGGATCTTGGAACCTTGGCGACCGATGATGTGGGCGCGGACAGAGGCAGGGACAGGGACATCGACGGATTGCTGGCGAGAGTTAGTTTTGGTTCTATCAGACTTCATGCGTGACCTACCTTGGAGCCAACCTCATTGGCGACTTCCTTGAGAGCCTGGCGGACAGCTTCAACCGGACCGGTGGCCTCGAAGACGAGACCTCCTGGTGCCTGCTTGTACTCGAGCTTAGCCTTGGAACGCCTGTTGATGTCGCGGACAATTTCGTTGATGGGCTTCTTCAGCTCAGCGCGGCTAGCGACCTGGTGAGTAGCGAGAGAGATGCGCTCCGTGTGCTTGCCGGGGATGTTCATAGACGGGAGGGCGGGGCCACGGCCAATGGCGATCGGGGTGGACGTGCCATTGCTGGCGGCACTGCCATTGACGCCGTTGGAGGTAACAGAGGCAGGCTTCTTGCCCCAGGTAGGCGCGACAGCAGCTTGAGCGCGAGGTTTGACGGGGCCGAGGGCTGGAAAGGCCTCCTCAGACGAAGTGTTCAGGGCCGGCTTCTTCGGGGCAGCAGGAGCGGCATCGGCCTTTTGCTTGCCAGCAGCCTTCTCACTGAGAGGAGTAGAGCCATCGTCGGCAGACTTGGCGGCGGCAGGAGGATGGGCGATATCCTCCTCGTCGACAACGTCCTCGACGGTGACATGGTGGTCGGCATGTTCTTGCATGAGCTTCTGGGCTGGGGTGAGACCCTCAGTGGCCGAGCTGGCGACTGCTTCAGATGCCATAGTTGAGTGTAGACCGTTTCGAGTAGACCAAAGGGTATTCGCGTGGACGGTGGGTGGACGGGCTTAGGAGAGGGAAGCCAGTTTGCAGTCGGCGTTCAAATAATCGGGGGCTGTTCTGATAACCAAGGTCAGCACGATGGTGTCGGATGGAATTGGGTCGCTCTCCCCTCTTGCTGGGAGAATTTAGTGCGTTGGCTGTGCGTACCAGGAAATGTAAATGGACTGTCACTGGAAGCTCGGTCGGAGATTCGGTACGCAGGGTCTTTGTATAAAGGCGCTAGTCTCAGTAGGTCATAGCGTGATTTCACAAGAAGATGCGGGGTCCAATTGACTATATGCGTAGGAAGAAAACCACAGCAAGCAAAAAGCGGTCGCAATGGGTGTACTGCCGTGATGGACAGATCACGCACATGTGGCCAGCCTCTAGAATGTCCTCGAAGCTACTGCCTGCACCCCTGCTTCCCGATCCCCACCATTTCCAATCCCGTCGACAGAGGCTAGCCTAGTACACCGCCGCCCGCTAGCCTCCACTTTGCCCCAACCGCATCCCTCACCATGCCGGCAGTCGTGATGCAACAAATGACACCTGCAGCGCCGCTTTCTGGATCACCACCTCAGTATTACGACGTGTGCAAAGTGTGCAAAACAATGTTTGCGAGAAAAAATACAAAATGATTTCATACATGGCTAGGACATGATCCACACCAACTCAAAAAGAGCAGTGGGTCAGACGCAGTGCATAGTGGTAGAAGGCGTCATACGAGCCTTGGTTGAAGAAATGAACAAGCCGCAATAACGATGAAATCAACCGTTCCTCTCCCTAGTCTCCCAAATCGCCTCCCCAAAAGCCCACTGATTTCCAACTTTCCCCAAATCCTCCCTCAAACTGCCCCCCAGCACAAGAACGTCCTTGGTTTTTTTGTCGTCGTCCCACTCACAGTACACCTTGGGCATGCCGCCACCTTCTCCCTGCAGAAATCCCTTGAATCTGTCCTTGCAAAGCTGGTTAGTCATCGTAAAGGCATACTTCGTTGTATCGCGTCCTGAACCAGGATCGATGCCGACTCTGAAGGTGGAATCGATGCTGACTTTGAAGATCCAGCGGATGGGCTTGTCGTCGTAGGCGGTGACGTCGTAGGTAAAGACGAGTGGTGTGTCCGCGACAATCTCTGTGGGTGTGTGATTATCGCAGAATTGATTCATGACATCCAAGTAGACGCTGTCTTGTAAGTTGTGTTTCTCGTTGGCGAGACAGGCGTTGAGGTTTTTGCGGGGGATGAGGGTAGCGTTGAAGCTGTCAGTGAACGTTTCTTCTACAGTGAGAGGGGTGGCTAGAGTAGTGGCCGCGAAGGCGAGTAGGATGGTTGGAGTAACGTACATGTTGTTGATGGGGTTCAAAGTATGTGTGGGTGTGTAGTTGCGTACTGATGGGAATAGAAAATTGATATTATATATAGTAGAATCGACTATTTCCAGTACAATATCAAGCAAATCCACAGCCCAAAGTACAATATTAAGAATACTTTAAGCAGCTACGCGTGGCTTGTATCCATGTTGTCTATGTGTAATACTACACACTGTACACACGTGCAAATTGATGTAAATGGAGTGAAAGAAACGAGGCAACAAAGAGTCAAAGAACCCGTCTAAACTAGTTCCACGAGTATTGCCACAGTTTTATCTACTTGAGACATCTATGAATGCCCCTACACGATCCTATCCCTTTGCTTCAGTCTTGATATTGTGCAGGTAAGTCTTCCGGGTGAGCAAATGCAGCGGACGTAGCACCTTGAACTCAGTCTTACTGTTATATGGACAAGCCTTCAGGGTCAGTAGAACTGGCGGATGTAGCACGTAAGTCCCTCACGTAGTGGCACTGAAGCTACTGTAAAAAAAGTCTTATGCGGAGCGCAAGGGTGAAATATCATGTATCCCAAAGGAGTTGAAGAGGTTTGACACGCGGCAGACTATAAATGAATAACTGCTGAACACGATTTTGTAAATACACACGCTAGATGATACAAAATAACATATCTACCAGAGCAGTGCCATGATATCTATCCAACAAAAAGATCCATCCAAGATTCGAATGAGAGACGCAAGAAAACCAGAAAGCAAAACAAAAGATCAACCACGAAAAGGAAAGCCCTTGCCACAGCGATCAGATAGACGACACTCCCTCGCAAAAAGCCCCGTCTCGCCCCCCGCTCAACAGAATCCAAGCACCCCTCCAATCCCGCGTACTGCGATTCCAATCTCCATCCTCACCTACTCCTGTGGCGGCACAAACGAATCCCCATTCATCTGCCTCGTCTCCACCCAAACCTTCGCCCCCTTGACCCTCCCCTCCAACACATTGGTCTTCCCCCCCTGCATAAGTCCCCCCTCACAAGCATTTTCCAACGCCCTAAACCATTCCTCGCAACTATCCTGCTGAACCGTCATAACGCCCTCGCTGCCGCCGTTCGCCCGGTTCCCATTGTCGTCCCACGTGGTGCTGAGGATCCACTTGATCGGGTACCCGCGCCCGTCGGTGAGCTCGTACGTGTATACGAGAGGCTTTTGTGGGGTTAGGGAGTCGGGGAAGTGTGCGCAGTAGGATGATAGCGCCGATTGGTATTGGGCGGTGGTTGGGAGGTGGGTGGTCGGGCAGGTGCTGCGGGCGATGGGGTGGTGGTAGGGGAGGGGGTACTTGGATTTTGGACGGGGTGGGAGGGCGGTTGTTAGAGTGAGAGTTGATAGGAGGGTGAGAAGGGGGAGGAAGAGTATGGTGTACATGGCTGTGATGTTCGTCGTGATTAGTTTTTTTATGTGATGTTGAGTACAGGATTCGGTCCTGTATCTTGTTTGAAATGTATAAATTAGACTCCGCAACAATCAATTCAATCCGGTCACTCTCCTAGACCCACTTACCTATCTAGGTAGGGCTTAAACTCCTATAGGTAACTACTAGGCTTAAAGCGGTAATCAATCAATCCAATCTGAACCTTCTAGGACCCACTTAATTGATTGTTGCGGACTGTGGTATAAATCGATGGTGTAGAACTTTCTTGTTTACGCAAAGTGTAGATTTCTCTATATCGAAATAATTCCTCTGTTAGACGCAGGAAGTATTTTATATAATCTCAATCACCACAACACTACCATCACTACCTCATTCAAATTACCCCAGGAGGGTCTGAATAGGAGGTTCAATAGCCTTTTTACTCACTCCTCGCTGGCACTGTGCTTCCTGGCTTCAACGTCCGATATCTTGTGACTTGCTTGCAAATGAGATTCTTTGTTGTATTTGCTAGAATTTGTTTCGACTGCACAAAAGGGGCACAAAGACTGCTTTGTGAGACACGGCTTTGTGGACAAAGAGGTTGAGACGTGAGGCGTGCGTCTGGAACAGTAGACAATGAGTAGGAATGTGAGGGACGAAGGGTGGCAAGAAAGTGTGTTGAAGTCAGGATTCGAATTTCACCACTTGATAGGATCCATCCTATAAGTAGGTAGGGTGTTCTAGGCAGCTGGTATGGTAGTAATGTACAATGGCGATACGATAGGGAGTGTTTTAATGGTACTTTAAATGTAGATGTCGATGTGTTGCTTTAGATCGCGCAGTGGGACAGATGTATTGAGGTGTTAGCTATCCAAGGTGGGAGAATGTTGGTTGATGTCGAACTTTTGTTTCCCAAATTATCGCGAATTTGGTATTAAACATGTATCTTCATGTTCAGTATTCGCTATAGTGTGCCGCATGTCTTATCTCTTGCGTATGCAAATCTCAGTGTTAGGGTATTGTGTATTCTTCTCTAGTCGATGCTAGAGTGTTACCGGAAGGCGATTTAGGGCAATACTAAAAACACGACCGCGTTGAACCAAGTTGGAAAACTTCCATCTAACTGTCATCCTAGTCTTACTGAGGACTGGGGTGTTGGAAATATTACATGGAGGCCTGCAAGCGCCGTACCACCTTTGCACACGAGAAAAAACACTATAATCTCTGATCAAGCCCTTTTGTTCGTTACGATCGAGCAAAGTATGACATGACTAGCCGTGTAAAGCTCCACGTCGTCTTCTCGCTTTTTTAAACTCGGGTGGTTTCAGTCATAGTGAGTGAGGTGCTGTATCCCCAGATGTTCCCGTGTGTTTTGACTAAATGGTATGGTAGGGCGCGGATAAAGCAACTGCTAGATGTGAGTGATTAGTCTCAAGTCCCACTCACGGTTAAATGTTGTTGCGTGGCTTCATGTCTGAAAGTCGCCGAGGTATGTTAGACTGGCCACTTTTTCGTCTATTCAGACCCCTGCCAGTTTCCGTGGTACAGGGTGAAAAGACGCAGGCACTCGATCGCAAAACAAAAACGTCGACGCGCCGTGCCGGCACACGGCCACTCATGACGTCGTAAGAAGCAAAACTAGAATGTCACTGTTTGACGATCAAGCCATGGACAGATGTTGTTTAGCGGGGGTTCGTCTCAGGTTTTTTGTGTTTTTTTGTGGGCTGCGGTCTAGAACCGGGTTTGTATGATGGAATGGCACGCTGTTGTGTTTGTTACAAAATGCCTGTTGATGCTGTAACAGGGTGGTGATGACAGATTTTGGCGCACAGCCGCTGATCGGAGCGGATGAGGATTCCAGGACCACGGTCAAAAGAGCGTTGTGGTGCGCCCCTGCCCGATAGCGTGTGTCGATGACGGGAGATGGACCGTTGCCGCGTAGGGAGGGGTATGCTTGCTTAGCCAGGGCTGAGACTTTCACCTCGGACACTTTTGGCGGCATGACGATTCTGGAAAATAGTACGAGGTTGGTGTTGCGAATATATGCGTAGAGTTGTTGAGCTGACGCTGTGCTCGGCATTATTGGACACTTGATCTTATCATAGTCTACACGTGGGGACGCATGCAATGCTGTCTCTGTTGCTTTGGGGGGTTGGCAGCCTCAGATGGAGAAGCTGTGCAACGGCAGGCTGCATGCGTGGGCGCGGAAGGGTGCATGGCGCGTTTCATCAGCGGTAGAGTTTGGATATGTCTTGCCTTTGTGGTGTTGTGCTCTGCGGCAACCGACGTAGCGCGAAGTGGGGGGTGAGGAGGTTTGTTGACTAGGCGACTGGGGGTTCTTTCTTCCAGTCGGACCTTTGGTGCTAGACGCGCAGGCTTGGTGGTAATCCCAAGTCCCATGACGGCGTAAATGGCGGCGCTTCGCTATCGCGGGCGGGCGCGGCCAAGAAGGCTGGAGGAAGCCGTGATCTGAGGCTCGGTCGGTGATGGGGTAAAAGGTACCTCGCATGTGAAATGCGGGAGGGGCGTCTTTGGTCAAGGAAGCCGCGATGGAGACATGCCTATCTGGCGGCAGCATGCAAGGACGGCAGCGTGGGAAACATGGCTGGTCATGTACTGTATACCAACCACGCCCTGAGCAACTTGTGGTGCTGTGACGAGGGATGAAAACGGAGGTAGGGCAGGGCGCTACATGGGATATGACATGCACCTCGTACTGTGGAGAGAGAGACATCTGGAGCTACTGCACATTGGCACAGGTTGATTACCACCTAGAGTGTACTCGGACGTCAGGCGCATTGTGTGCATGAGTGGCAGCTTGCAGCTTGCAGCTTGTAGCTTGTACGGTAGAGTCGGGTTTGGTGGCGGCTAGAGCATGTCGCATGCTCATGACAGCAAAATTACAGGAAACACGGGCGAAACGGAATTTGGGCTTTCCTGTGGAGTCATGGCTTGAGTGGAGATTAAGGCAGTGTCTTGAGGCTAGCAAGGAGATGGGCGGAGGCTCTTGCGGCAAAAGCATGCTCAGTCAGTCTGCCAGGCCCATCTGTGCTTTCCATCTTTCACCCAGACGGCTGGTAGTTGTTCATCTCGACTCAGCTCAGTCATTGCAGTTGCAGTCTGTTTTTGATTCGTTTTGCCCATCCCGGTTATCTTGCCGGCCAGGCTCAGGTGTCAAGTGTGACGTGGGATCGAGTGGTCGCCAGCCCTCCGTCCCGGTGCCGTGTGGCCTTGCCAGCACTATGGAGGAAAAGACGACGTCGCGACGGTTGACCAAGAGAGACCGCCATCCTCCAATCGCATACTTGAACAAGTCGTCCAACACACACACCAATACGCTGAAGCGCGCCCCGAGTGCGGCCTCCTACTTTGCCCATTCCAGCCTTGGCGCAGCACTCCCCACTGTGACGACTGGCACTGGGACGGCTACTGCTGGTGCTGCTGCATCGTCGCTCTCGCCTGCCACGACACCGGGTAGTGCTCCTCTTCGCCGCAGCCCGTCTTTGACGCCCGTCCACGAGCACCACAATCACAACGCCTACAACGCCCACCACAGCTACAACGCCTACCACTCTGCGAATGTAGAAGCCGCGACCCAGCACCAGCTTCCGCCCTCGGTTGCGCACCTGCCTCCCGCCGCCGTCGGCCAGCCCTTCAACTCGATAGTCGAGGACGCCCTCAACGCCTCCAACAGCAGCGGTCCACGTAGGCCTGCGGGCCCACAGCACTCGCAGACGGACCAGCCCTCGCGCTACCTGCGTCCCTCGCGCTCCTTCAACACCAACATGGACACGACGACCCCGCCCTCGACCGGCACCCCCAAGACGAACCGCTACAGCGATGGCAGCGGCGAGGGCGCAAAGAAGCGCCTCTCGGGCGGCGCGAAGAAGAAGGGCACCTTTTCCACCTTTATGAGCAGCATGCTGGGCTCTCCGCGCCGGCCCACCATCTCGACGCCCACGAACCCCATGCATGTCACCCACGTCAGCATCGACAACCAGACGGGCGAGTACACGGTACGCCGCCGGACCCTGACCCCTCTTCCTCTTCTATTTGCTTCTCCCACTGACCTCCCCAGGGCCTTCCCAAGGAATGGCAGCGCATGCTGCAGCAGAATGGCATCTCCCAGGAGGAGCAGAAGCAGCACCCCCAGGCCGTCATGGACGTCGTCAACTTCTACAAGGACAATGCCGAGAAGAGCGAGGACGATGCCATCTGGGACAAGATGGGTCCCGCGCAGCCTCAAGGGTACGCCTACCAGGCCAACATCGCGCCTAACAACAACTATGGGTCAGTACAGCCCCTCCTCAGTCCCCCGCAAAGCCCTCGATTCCCACGGAACGACCAGTCCAGCTTTGAGAATCCAAGAGCCCCCCCGCCAATTCCTCGCAGTGTTACGTCGCCGACTCCCATGTCGCCCCCCCTCAATGTCGCCCAAATGGTACCGAGCCGCCCAGCCCCCAGGCCTCCAGTGTCCGCCGCACCCTCTGTCGCCGCCGTCCCGACCAGACCTGCGCCCCAGGCCCCGAGTCCCATCATCACGCAACAACAGCCGCCTCGCCATGAAAACGACTATCCGCAGGTCGCCTATGCCCCTCCGACTTTTACAGAAAGCCCGGGTGCGTCGTCCGCACCCCGTAGCCGCGCGAATACTACGGGAGGGACTCCCCCACGTTTTGACTCGCCGGCTAGCGCTGGGCCCATCTCCCCTGCGCAACAGTACCAACAGCAGCAGCAACAAGCCATGGCCATGGCAGCTGCCATCCAGCAGCCAAAAGCCCCCATGAGCAGGAGCGCCAGCCAAAGGGCCCCACAACCCGCACATCCCCCACCGCAGCCGACGCCTCAACAGGTTTTTGCCCAGCAGTCCGACCCCCAGAACATCCCATTACCGTCCCAACAAGCTCGAGTTGGCCCGGCCCCACGACCGCGCCAAAGACCTCGCCAAAGCCAAGGGCCAGATATCGTTGCCAAGCTCAATGCCATCTGTACCCAGGCCGACCCCAGAGAGAGATATCGCAATCTCAGCAAGATTGGCCAGGGTGCCTCTGGTGGTGTTTTCATGGCCTATGAAGTCAACACGAACAAATGCGTGGCCATCAAGCAGATGAACCTCGAACAGCAGCCGAAGAAGGATCTGATCATCAATGAAATCCTCGTCATGAAAGATAGCAAGCACAAGAATATCGTCAATTTCATGGACAGTTTCCTGCTGCGGGGTGATCTCTGGGTGGTTATGGAGTACATGGAGGGCGGAAGTTTGACAGATGTGGTTACTTTTAACATCATGTCAGAAGGTCAAATAGCCGCCGTGTGCAGAGAAGTGAGTGTGCATGCATTAATAGCAGGACTAAGCTAACCCCGCACAGACACTCCACGGATTGCAACATTTGCATTCAAAGGGTGTGATCCACCGAGACATCAAGTCGGATAACATTTTGCTGTCCCAAGAAGGCAACATTAAACTCAGTACGTCAACCCACGATTCTGACATGACATGTCTAACCCCTGGATAGCCGATTTTGGTTTCTGTGCACAGATCAACGAAAGCCATAACAAGCGCACGACCATGGTAGGCACCCCGTACTGGATGGCTCCTGAGGTTGTTACCCGGAAGGAATACGGCCGAAAGGTGGACATTTGGTCATTGGGCATCATGTCGATTGAAATGATCGAGGGAGAGCCACCTTATCTGAACGAGAGCCCCCTACGCGCACTCTGGCTTATTGCGACCAACGGCACGCCAACGATCAAGGAAGAGCATGCATTGACACCCGTATTCCGCGACTTCTTGGCCTTTTCGCTCAAGGTTGACCCCGACAAGCGAGCTAGCGCTCACGACCTCCTTGTTGTAAGTGCAATACGAAAATTTTAAGTTTGATGATGACTAACAAAGCGACAGCATCCCTTTATCCAAACTGCTGAACCGCTGGGCACATTAGCACCATTGGTGCAGGCCGCGAGGAAGGCAAGGGCGGAAGAAAGGCGGAAGAAGGGTGGTCTGTGAAGATTTTCAATTCGTTATGACTCTCTTAACACCGGAACGTAGGCACGGGCGTTACGCATACCGAAAAGCACGATTCGTCGAACACGAGGACGGATTCGTTTGTGGATTGGTATGGCAAAACGACGGAATTATAAGGTGGTTCAATGGCGCGAGTGACTCATGGACGCATGTGGTGGCATTCCCCGATTACGTACCCATTCGAGTGGCGATTATCGAAGCGACGAGCCTTGACGAGTCGCGGCAGCACCACCCCCAACTCGGCAGTCAGTATGCAAAGGTCGAAGCCTCATACTGCTGTGATTCGTATACGAGCATTGTCGAGCGAATTAGCAAGCGTGTACCACACTGTTCAAACAGCTCCTTCCAGCGAGCATAGCATGTTTTGTTTTGAAAGAGCGTATGTCATGTTGGCGTACATGATGACGCCGAGATACCGGTTTCTTTTAGATTACAACGGGACGGGCCCCTATACACCATTTGCAATTTTTAGTGTTTAAACAACGTGGGATGGACTACAGTATTATCTTCAGGTGGCATCCTCGGCATATGGAAAGGTCGAATAAAATCTACAACATCTGTAATAATTTAGTTCACTTGCGTATGATGAGGCTATGTGAAGATGGCAGATTATGCCGTCGCGTTAGTCAAGTGGCTGAGCACGCGGCCGCCACAGTGTTCGTCATCAACCCCGCTAAACTGTTTAGGCGGCGCGAGCCCAACGGGCGGAACGAGCTCCAAACCAAGACTATACCACAACAGTTGCCATAACTTTGACTTTCACTGCCACCTACAAACCCAGCGCTCTAGCTATATATCACGCGGACCCAAAGACCTTTTCCCGATCGCTACCACGCCTCGCCTACACCCTGCGACTCTTAACTTGACACCTCCGACACTGCTCGAGGCACGACAAGCTCACCCGTATATCAAGCCACGACACGCACGAACAGAACCAGACAGGCGCCATGTTTCGCGCGCAGTCCAACATCTTCGACGATGTAGTCGTCAAGGCTACAGACGAGAACCTCACTAGCGAGAACTGGGAATACATACTGGTATGGACAGACTACGCCTTTTACTATGGCATATTGCTGACTTCTTGCCAAGGACGTATGCGACAAAGTTGGATCCTCGGACACAGGCGCCAAAGATGCCGTCGCTGCTATGATTAGGCGGTTGGCACACCGAAATGCGAACGTACAACTATACACGCTTGAGCTTGCGAATGCTCTGAGCCAGAACTGCGGAATCCAGATGCACAAGGAGCTCGCATCGCGAAGCTTCACTGAAGCCTTGCTGAGACTAGCCAATGACCGCAACACACATCAGCAGGTCAAGGCCAAGATACTGGAGCGCATGGGCGAGTGGACAGACATGTTCGCTCGTGACCCGGACCTGGGTATCATGTCTGGTGCCTATATGAAGCTAAAATCACAAAGTATGCCAAGTGCTTCACCTGAACGCGCAAGTTGCTGACATGATGTAGATCCCAACCTTCGAGCGCCTTCGAAGCCCCAGAAGACGCAGATATCCGATGTCGAGCGCCAGAAGGAGGAAGAGGAGTTGCAAATGGCGCTTGCCATGTCGATACGAGAATCCAAAGGCGCTGCTCCAACAGCTGCCAAGTCCAACACACCTCAGCAAAGCGGCTCTGGTCCCAGTGCTTCGTCCGAACAACCTGCGAAACCAGTACCTTCGGGCACTACCGCTGCGACCGTCTCACGTGTACGAGCTCTCTTCGATTTCCAGCCTTCAGAACCCGGCGAACTGCAGTTCCGCAAGGGCGACATCATTGCCGTGCTTGAATCTGTCTACAAGGACTGGTGGAAGGGATCGCTTCGTGGGCAGACGGGTATCTTCCCGCTCAACTATGTGGAGAAGCTGCAAGACCCGACACGAGAAGAGCTGGAACGCGAGGCACAAAACGAGGCTGAAGTGTTTGCGCAAATAAGGAACGTGGAGAAGCTTCTAGCGCTTCTAAGCACAAGCTCTCAACCAGGTGCTGGCGATGCGCGGGACAACGAGGAGATTACCGAGCTCTACCACTCTACTCTGGCTATCCGGCCTAAGCTAATTGAGCTCATTGGGAAGTACTCACAAAAGAAGGGTAGGTTCATTTTTGCAAGCATTGATCACCAAGGCTGACATGATTAGATGACTTTACGCAGCTGAACGAAAAGTTCATCAAGGCTCGCCGAGATTACGAGTCCATGCTGGAAGCATCAATGTCTCAGCCACAACAACCTGCATATGGTGGCCGTCCTGCTTTTGGCGGCTACAACGCACCACCACCTTCGAATTACCAGGGATACCCACCTGCATCTTCAACTCCACATCAAGATCCGGGCCGTTTCGCCTATGGCGGCGCACCTCCACAATCAGGGCCTTCTCAAGTTCCACCACCAGGCTCCAGCCCCGCCTTCTTCATGGTCCCCCCTGGTGAACAACGGACCCAACAGACCCCGAAACCAGGTCTGCCACAAGACCCCTACCAGGCAGCTATGGGTAGAGTACCGGTAGGGGGTCGACCACTAAGCTATGCTCCCCAAGAACTAGCAACCGCTCACTACGACTCGCCCGTGGACAACCGACACTCGTTCCATGCCCCTAGCCAGCCACAAGCTTCAGCCCCTCCTCAAGGTTACGACTATCCCCCGTCTACCCAGCAAGCCGGTGCCGGTTACCCACCACAGCAAGGTCCCCCCCAAGGACCGCCACACGCACAGCAAAACCCATACGACCAAGTAACTTCTCCCCCTCTACAACACGCCCCGCAAGACCAACAGCCCCCATCGGATCCGTACGCGCAAGCTCCTCCCCAGCAGGGCTACGCATACCCACCATCGCAACCTGCCTACGCGCCACCTGCCCCGCCTGGAGCTTCGTCTAGTCCTGCACCCCCCGCTCAAACTCAAAGTTATCTGCCATATCGCCCAGGCGGCGCTGCTGCTGCCCCAAGTGCCCCAAGTGCACCACCGGTAGGTGGAGATGATGCGTCTGGATTTTACCGGTAGAATCGGCCTTGGAATAGGCGCTTGAGAGAAAGAAAGAGTTTGTAAACTGTAAAACTATCATTGGCTACTAATTCGATTGGGTTGAGTTGAGATTGTGTAAATTGAGATGAAGTATTAATTGAAACATCTTGCTCTTGAAAGTGTGTATACATCTGCTGGCCTACGTTGACTGTTCGCGTGTTGTTAAGGGGGTGATGGAATCATAGGATTAGGTGGACATAGTAGGTATACGCAGTTAGTCACAAGTAGGCCACCTATTAAGAAGCAAATAAGAAATAGTAAGAATTAGGGATGTGAAAAGGACCGTTGTATGCGTAACTAGATAATAGTACGTTACCAAATACGATGACTACGGTATAAACAAAACAAGGTAGTCAGGACAAACTAATCCGATATATAACAAAAACAGGTCATTTGACAACACCATATAAAACGCCGATATAAGCAATAAACCAAAAACACCAAGAGCGAGATTCCAGTAGAAAACAGCACACAAATCCTCCCTTGCCCTTCCAAAAGATAAATCACCAGATAAACTCCAAAAACACCTTCCTTTCCTTCATTCATTCCTTCCTCTTTCCTAACTTTTTCCTTCCCCCCATTCACTCCCTTCTCCCACTCAAAAACCCCCGCCAACCCTCCCCAGCCCCTCAACCCCCCTCTTAGCAGCAACAACATGCCATGGCACAGTCCCACCCCTAGTCCCCCTCATACCCCTCAGCTTCGCCAGCAAACCCAGCGCACGAAACTGTCCCAGCACCTCCTTCAGCAGGCCCTCAGCCGTCGTGCGCGTCTGCGGTGTAGGCGTCCACATGAGACTTGTTGTACTCCTCTGACCAGCTTCCTGTTGTCCAGGGCCTGGACTGGGGCTTTGCGGTGTTGATGTGCTGGAGGGGTACGGGTTTGGAAGACCGGTTGTGTTGGGACTGGGTATGTCTGCTGTTGATGATGATGATGAGGAGGAGGACGATGATGTATTTGTTCCGGTGGAGGAGGTGGCGGAAAATGGGGAGTTTGTGGTGCGTGTAGAGCCGACAGCGCCGATCCAGAGGAAATTGACGGCTACAACGATAGGACCTGTTTCAGGATCGGGGATGGGGTGCAAAATGTTGTTTCTTGTTTGGAGCGTCTCGCCGCGCTTGACGAGCAGACCAGAGATAAGTGCGGGACTAAATTGCGTTGTGGAGTATGAGTTGTGGAGGCGGTGGGCGAGGACTATGCCCCAGGTTTCGTCTGTGATGTCGACGAGACGGGCTTCGGGGTCTGCGGCTGGATCTGTGGCGGAGGGGTCCGCAGACGGTGTTGCGGCTGGTGTGAGACCCGGGCCGGGATCTGAAGGGGAGACGCCGGCTTGTGGTGTTGAGACTGGTGTGTTTGCTGTGGCAGCAGTGTTAGACTGATTTGACGATGACATTGTTGGTGTGAATTGGTATGGGGGGTCTGCGTCGACTGCTGTGAGCAACGTTACGAAGACGTTGATTTGTGTTGGACATGAGATGAGGAAGACCCAGGATTCGAGTTCTTCTCTTTCCAAGACTCCGGCTTTGGCGATGCAGACGCGCCAATTGACTCGTCGAGACTGCAGAATCTCAATTGTGTTTTGCCAGATTTCCTTTGCAATCTCTCTAAACATCCTAGTGCCTAGATGATATGAGACGACTGCCTGAGATTTGCCGCAGCTGTCCGTCCACGCAGCTGTTACCCATGTACCATCAAGACTAATCGCATAACCGAGATGCATGTACGTGTTCTCTCGAAGTAGGTCCTGCGCGGGCTCCGCTACGAGCTTGAATGGTATGTTGCGCGGTAGCGTCTCCTCGAGATGGAAGGCGGGTGCGGAGTATATGCTAAGAGATGTCTTGTCGCCACTGGGCGCACTAGGCGGGCATCGATCGTACACCTCCCGTGCGAGATTGAAGTAGGTGGATGGGTCCAGAATGACAGGGGCATCGAATGAAGCAATGTACTTGATCGGAATAACCTGAAGTACGAGATCTGGCTTCTGCGGTTGTTCGGGTCGTCCTGGTGGTCCTTGTCCGTAAGCCTGGAAGAGTGACCAGAACGCTGAGCACAGCTCCCATAGAGCCGACGGGCCACCAAAAGGATCGATCATGTAAATGACGAATGCATCGATGTTAGAGTCCTGTTGCTCTCTTATCTTGGCATACTGCAAGGCAAGCAGCCTTCCAAGTTGAATGCATGCGTCTTTGAGAAGCTTGAACGTCTCCCGTGGCGAACTGGCCGTCGTAGCTCGGACAGGAACAAGACCTCCTTCAAACTCCATAACTGTCTCCACTCGACTGTGACTGCCGAGCTTGCAGCTGTCATAAGCCAACTGCAGATTAAGAAGAAAATTCTCCAAGCAGGGTCGTAGAGCATCGCTGTGCGGATACACACAAAAGCTAACAATGTTCTTTGGAGAACTGATTGGCGATAACCCGAGAGGCTCCCAAAACGCTACTGCCGGTGGCAGCAGGTCCCAATGTGTATCCGCCCGGCGTACCCTGAGATGTGGCGGATTGATTTGATACATGTGGCTTGACGTAATGGCCGGACCGTCGGTTTTCCGTGCCGGGGGCCTTTGCTGGGCTTTTGCGAGAGCGGCATAGTCCTGGAATACCTCGTGGATGCCCACAAGCTTAGGCAAATCACAATCCTCGGCCGTTGGAAAGACATCCTTGATGGCTGTTTGCCAGTGCATCTCTATCGCAGCGCTGTCCTCAGAGATATTTTCAGTTAATGGGTCTTCTCCAAGCACATCGAGCGTTGCCGACACAATTTGATCAGTCACGATCTGCGTGATCGAAATAATGTCCTTTCCATTTAGGGGCTTTTCCTCTGGAACTTCGTAGTTGAGATCGGGCTGAGATGTAGGCGTATCAGGCATCTGTGAGGGACTTGGGAGTAGAGCGGGAAAGCTGTAGCGTGCGCCAGTTGCGACCCGTTCAGCCGGAGAAGGGAAGTTGACCAGGGACCAATCGAATAGACTGGGTTCGAAAGTACTGAGATTTGCCTCGTCGAGTTGCAATGCATACAAATCTTGCCAGTCGCCCCCCATTGATTCTGCGAACGAGGTTACAGAAAGTGGTGTAGCGTTACCCTCACTCTGCAGTTTCCTTTTCGCTGGCATGACGAGACTGTTCAAGATAGCCACCGGAGTGCGTTCTATTTCTTCCTCTTCTTCAGAATCTTCACCAGATGCGTCTGACGTGTCACTGGAAGATTCAAGATCCTCGCTAGCTGCTCGTGCAAGACATGCTATCTCCGGTATCTTGTTCGCAGAGGCCATTCCTACAGCCAAGCGAAGTTTTGTAAGCAAAGGAAAATCTCGCAAGCTTTTCGCTTGGACAGGAGCTGTTCCAGGACCGGGGCTAGGAGTAGTCTTTTTGATAGCAGGCTCCGTGTGGCCGTGCGCACTGAAGCGTCCATCTTGGTATTTGGCATCAGACATGCTCATCTTACGACTGAACGCGACGGGATCGAACTGAGTATTGTGCTGACTAGTGGAAGGGCGCTTTTGCTGTGTCCGTGATCCAGATTTGTAAGGTGGTGATGGTTGCAATGCTTTGAAGACAGCACTCGGGCTCAGCGGTGGTGTAGGCTCTTTGGAAAATGTTACCTTGACAAGGGAAGATGGCATAACAGCTTTCTTCTCAGATGTCTCGGGCACGTCAAACGAGGATGCTTGGGCTGTCGCAGGCTCTTTACCTTTGACATCAGTTTCCTCGCTTACTACAGGCTCTGAAGCTGTAGCCAGCGCGTTCTCCAAAGCGGCAAAGGGATCGGACATGTCATCCTGGACCTGAGGTTCGGTAACGTGGTGAGGTTCGTGTGGTGCGTCAGTGTGCGCTGTGTTGTGGTCAGGTAGTGCGGGTGCGTCCAGCATATCAACGTCATGGTTATCTGGCCCGTCAAAAAAGTCAAAGTCTGTGTCGTTTATCCGGTCACCTCCAAAGCCGTCTTCGTCCATGTCCTCGAAGAGATCGTCGTTTCCACTTGATGTGTTGTGATTGTCCGGAGCTGGAAGGATGACTGGAGATGTCAGGGGCAGTTGTTGGTCTTCCATTTTGGTGTCCGCTGGAGCAGACAGATTGATTGCCGGAGTGCTTCCTCCAGGGGCGAGTATAACATTAGACACTGTACCAGATACACTTGGTGTATCGCTTTGAGAAATGCCAGCACCTGGAGCAACTCCGTCAGGGGGTGTTGGATAAACGCCACTCACTGCTGGTAGGTCGCCATAGGCACCAGCACGAGCATTTAGTGGCGAAGAGGGATACAGATTATGCTGTTCCTCCTTGCGACGCGCCGCATCCTCCTCGGCTTTCTTAGCTTTTCGCTGTGCTTCGAGAAGCTTATCACGGTCTTGCTTGCCCAGGAACCACTCTTGTGCAGCATCTAGTGGATCTTTGAAGCCTGCGGATTCTGGCGTCTCAAACCATCTCAGCATGTTATGATTTCCTGCTGATGTGCTGGACTCTGCAGCAGTGATTTCGTGGTCTTGTGAAACGTGGAAGAAACATAGTGCTCGCGGCCAAAGAATGTCTCGATCCGGGCTTGGTGCAGCTGGGCTTGAGGCAGGGAGACTTGAGGGAGCTGTGCGTATTCTGACCCATGAGGTTCTCTTGTCCAGGTCAGGCAAAGCATAGCCTTTCCAACCCAGCCAACGCTCAACGCTCGACTTCCATTTTTCGATGTTCTGCTCGAGAGATGTAAGTCTAGTGCGCTTTCTATGGCGGACGCCGATTTCGTCTACGACAGATTCTATAGGGTCTTCAAAGCTCGAGATGGTAGCGAGCATGCCGTTGGGAGCGACACGTATGCATCTGCCAGCCAATTGGCTCTCTTCAGCGGGAGTCGAGACATGACCCAGACAACGGATGACAGTCTTGGGGTCAGTAAAGGTGGAGACCAAAAGTGTTCCTGAGCTAGTCCAGTGTACGGTTATGCTAGTAAGGCGATGCACATCGGGGGATTTAATCTCAGCTTGGTCATTTTCAAGTCGCTTGGAGGCCCTGGACACAAAGGTGCGGTAATTCAAGGCAACTACGTTGCAGTCTTTGACGATGTGAAATGAGATCAATGCAATGACAGACGAGGTGAACAGCTCATAGATGGTGAAGCAATCAGGTGACTGAGGCGGATCAGCCGATGTTTGTGGCTGACTATTCGCCTGTGTGGGTCTCGCGCTGCCACCCTGCCCACTGTGTGATGCTGCAGCCGACGAAGAAGAAGGTTTGGAGGAGGTTGATGTGTTGGGGGTACCTGTGCGCACGGGAGGGCGAACTAGATCGATGGCCTTGATGCATCCCGCGTGTTCGCCTGTATCATGTCAGTCGGGTGTACCAATGAGGGGAAGTGAAGGGAGGGGTCTAGGAAGGCACGCACGCTGCAGGTGATAGCCGTCGATATCTGGGAGGTCGGCATTGTTCTGACCGGCCTTATCGACAGTAGTTGGCTTGAACAGCCACAACCACGGGCGAGAGGCATCCTGCGCGACCAGCTGAAGTTGTTTGCGCAATTCAGCCTCGGCGGCGCGTATGTCCTCTGCAGAGCCCCAGTCCCTGATTCGCGATAAGGTCGGGGTAGTCGAGGTCCGGGCGATGGAGAAGGCTTGATATGCGATAGCTTCAAAGTCGCCCTAGATGGAATCGTCAGCACAGCGGATGTGTATATTGGCATCGCACTCACTATAGACTGCGCGTTGGTATTGCACGTTTGAGAAATTCCATTAGAAAGAGGCCTGCCCCCTAAGGAACATCCAAATGGTATTGGCGGCGTATATCTACTCCAAGGACTGCGCTGTACACCTTTTCCATCAACTCCGCTGCCGTCTACTCGACGCGTCTGGCGCGACCGTGACGATGACGATGACGATGTCGAGATGAAAATGGCGAATGCAGGGCTATGGGGCTATTTTGTCGTCGGCATCGTCTGTACGCGTGGTTTGTTGATGAAGCATGGCTACCGCTGCGCGAACGGGGCGGCAGTATGCGGGAGGGAGCGTGAAGAGCCGCCGAGGGGTCCAGCACGAGTCGCAGCGAGCATGCAGGGTGGGCGGCGCTGGGGGCACGGGGGTGAATAGGGCGACGACACAGCTAACCTGGACGTCAGACTCGGTCGGACAACAGATGTAGCTCGGCACGCCGTGAGCGAGGGCCCTGAGGTTTGTTAGTAGTATGTAAGCAGTTGTTAGCACCTCTCGGAGGAGCCGCCGCCCTGTCGCGAACTATCGCGCGCCTCAGAAGGGCCCCAACAACCCCGGTCGGACCCGCTCTTTTTTGCTGCACTATTGCGGACTGCGGACTTCCAAACTTCTACGTCCGGCCTTGCATTTTTTGTCGCAACCACCGCCGTCATGAAGATTTCACAGGGAAATGTGCCCGTCTATACCATCAGCGGCAGCGAGGCACGTCCCTTGCCCGAGTGGCTCATACGCAAAAGGAAACGGAGCTTGAAAAACGACCCCGAGTTTGCAAACCGCGTCGACTTGCTGCAAGATTTTGAGTTTGAAGAAGCCAGTCAGTGTGTGCGGGTGAGCGAAGATGGCGACTGGGTCATGTCGACGGGCACATATAAGCCTCAGATCCACGTTCACTACACACCGCATCTGTCCCTCTCATTTGCGCGCCACACAAATACCTTGGTATGTGCCTGCCGAATTCAGATGAGAGATGAGAAATGCCTAACATGACGTAGAATCAAACTTTCCACCTTCTCTCCTCGGATGCTACCAAGAGCGTGCACCTCCAGCAGGACCGCTGCATAGAATTCCATACTGGTGGTGGTCTCCACTATGCCAGTCGAATCCCACGTTATGGCCGCGACCTCATCTACGACCGACGATCAGCCGAATGCCTGGTACCTTCCGTGGGTGTAAATGCAGAGGGCATGGGTGAATGCTTCCGTCTGAACCTCGAGGTTGGGCGCTTCATGCGGAGTTACGAGATCGATGTGGGTGGTGACGGCGCAACTATCGGGGCTGGATCACTCCAAGGTGGCATCGACGCTGGTGCTGTCAACACGGGTGCCATTGCCGAAGAGAGCCATAATCTCCTCGCCTTTGGAACATCACACGGCACTGTAGAATACTGGGATTCGCGGTCCAAGAACAGAGTGGGCATTCTATCCTGTCCACAAGATTCTGTCGAGGGGCGCTCCGAAGTCACCGCTCTCAGCTTCCCCCGCTCAGGTCGCGAGGTCGCCGTGGGAGACTCCAACGGAATAGTGCGCCTATACGATCTCCGCTCTCCAACACCACTTCTGAAGAAGGACCAAGGATACGGCCTTCCCATCAAGAACATCATCTACCTAGACGGCGCGCAGACCGGCGAGCCCAAGATACTCACAGCAGATAAGAAAATCATCAAGATCTGGGATGCAAAAGACGGGTCGCCATGGACCAGCGTGGAACCTTCAGTAGACCTCAACCACGTTGAATGGGTACCCAAGACAGGCATGCTTTTGACCGCAAACGAGGGCAGACAACAGCATTCCTTCTTCATCCCCCAACTAGGCCCCGCACCAAGGTGGTGTCACTTTCTCGACAACATCGTAGAGGAAATGGCTGAGGATCCAAATGACCCCAACGCCTTCGGCAAGGGTGCTATAGGAGAAGTATACGACAACTTCAAGTTCCTCACGATTGAGCAACTCAAGCAACTATCGCTGGACCACCTTGTCGGAACCACCAACCTGCTACGACCATACATGCACGGTTTCTTCGTAGCTCAGAAGCTATACGAAGAAGCACGACTAATCTCCAACCCCGACCTATGGCAAGAACAACGCGCAAAGAGCATAGCCGAGAAGATCAACAAGGAGCGCGAGTCCAAGATCCGAGGCACCAAAAAGGCAGCCGTCAAGGTCAACAGAAAGCTAGCGGAGAAGATGTTGGAAAAACAAGAAGAGCAAGAACGCCGACGAGCCAAGCGCGTCCTCAAGAGAGGCGGCGACGACGACATGCTGGACGCCGCAGCGCCCGCCCCCGCCGTCGAAGAGCCCGTCCAACCCTCCGGTGTCCTCAACGACCCCCGTTTCGCCAAACTCTTCGAAGACCCCGAATTCGAAATCGACGAGCAAACCCGCGAATTCCAACAACTCAACCCTAGCACCAAAATACCAAAGGGCCTCACCGTCGCCGAGCAAGAAGAACTCGAATCAAGAAAAGGCTCCTCAGACTCTGATTCCTCAGACTCAGACGCCGACGCCGTTCGCCCCGTCAAAAAGTCACAACCAAAGCAAGATACCTCCCGCATCTCCTCCAGCACCTACAAAAAATCCGGCCACAAATCCCAACGAAACAACGCACCAGAGATGGTGGTTTCATCGTCAAACCAAAGGAAATCTGCTTCCACTGGGGGAGCTTCGGCAAAGGATAGAACGTTTGGCTCGCGTGTGTCTAAACTCAAAGAGAGGAAACCCGCGGCTGGTGCTAGTACCACGACTGTGGTAGGAGAGAGGGAGATTACGTTTGCGCCGGAGCGCAAGCAGAAGAGGAAGGGGGGTGATGGCGGGGACAAGGGGGAGAGGCATGATAGGAGGAAATCTGGGGATAGGAGAAATGCCAGTAACAATGTTTTTAGAAGTATGTAGTATGTGTGCATGTGGGTTGGAAAAGTTTAATGATACCCTTTTTACATGATCAACATCTCGATGCATGGCTTTTCTCTCTGACAGTGGCAGTTGATTTACGATGTTTTTAAGGAAGAAGCTGCCTTAGGTGCCACAAAATACTAAATGTCAAAATCAAAGATTTCCTTTACACTTCCGTCGGCCCAAACCATCCACAAATTGCATAGAAATTATAATCATCAACTTGATCAGCTGATAATAGTTGTTCTATATAATATCTGTGAAGTCCCGACATGTAAAAGTTTTACAGAATCACTACATGATGAACCTACCTCCACATTACTTCATTCTATTTATCCAATTCAAACTACACCATCATCCGCAAATGCACGTTATTCCTTGATTCAACACTACCTTTTTGATGTTCTACCCTTATTAACGTCGTTTAAACAAAAATACAAATTGTCAAGAACAAAGCACACATTTGTCAGAGGAGAGGATAGATGCGCACGTGAGTTACGTTTGTTGTTTCGTCGCCACCAGCCTCACTTTTCTCTTCTCTTCGTTTCGTTTCATTTTTTTTTCGCTTCACTTCTTCCCCTGCACCATTATGCTATGCCATGTAATGTATATTTTCTTTTTCCAACAACGACAACAACGTGTACCTGACAGCACATAGCAGCCCAACCCAAGCCGAAGTATAGCCGTGTAACTTTCTTGTTTGTTTCTGTTTGTTGAGGACTCTAAAATCGACATGGGATTTGTTAGTGCAATTGTTGGAATACCCTAGTGTGGTAAGTGGTGTGTGGGCGCCACAACGTCGACAAATGCAAGTATAAGCCAGAGCCCAACAAAACGTCAAGATCCTACCGCTTTGGTTGATATACCCATCCAATTAGGATAAACTTGAACGACGAAAAAAGTAAAATAAACGTTGAAGTTAGGAAGACAGCAACATAGCGTAATGAGAGAAACAAATCATCTAATATTCCAAGATATGTAAGTCTTACTCAGACGACATGAGGTGACTGACGCCGGTATCAAAACCCACATCAAGCCCCACCCAAAAAGAGAGAACCTTTACACGTGTGTTAGATTCACATGTCGCCCAGCCCCTCTACCAGAAAATGCAAAAAAAAGGTCTGTTGAGGAACTTCCCCCTTCCCATCCCACGCCTACCCCAGCCAGTCCCCTCCCATTGTGCTTGCCCAGCTCCCCAAACAGCGCACGCTGGAAATCCAGTACATGTATGGTGTATCCGGCAATATGTATTACCGATCAGGGGAGAGACTCTTTACTCAGCCTGTTGCTTGTTCATCATAGTGTATGCCGCGAAAGCAAGAGCACCACCAAGCAGAATAACAGCGTAAAGACCCACACCTGTCGAAGCGCCGTCGGTCGCAGTGGTTGTGGAGCTGCCGGGTGCTGCGTAGGACTTTGGCTTTGGGTCGCCCTCCTGTTACATCGTATTAGCCAGAGTGATACAGCATGCCTAGCAATGTGAAGTAGTGGAGGTAGTAGTGACGAAGAAGCCCCGGATCACGCAACGGAATGATTCCGAGAAAGACCCTAGCACCTCGGCCGACCAAGATAAATGCCCCCACACAAACCGCCGCGCATATAAAGTGAGGGGAGGGCTTGGGGCTTGGGAGGCCCGGAGAGGCTCGGATAGAGCGTATCGCGTATCCAGGCAAACATAGAAAGTAAGCCAAGGGTGGAATAACATACCTTTCGCTTCAGCGTTCCGACGAGCAGACCTTCAAGGATCTCCCGGGCTTCGTCCGAGTGGCCAACGTCCTCGAATGCCTCGGTTGAGTCCTGGCCTCCGACATCCAGGAGCACTTCTTCACCTCCTCTATAGTTTGCTGGTTAGCGTCGTTTTTTGTTATAGTGCGTTTACGGAACTGTAGGTTAAGGCGGTCCGCTGCCATTGTGTGCATTGGACGACGGATCATGTCCTAGGCGGTGTGCGGGCAACGTACGGATGCTCGTCTACAAAGCTTGTTGCATCGTACACCTTGTCGTGCACGACGATGAACAGATCCTTCTTGGTGTTGTGCTCCGAAACATCCGAGTACGTATATTCCTTATCGGCAGACATTGTGTAGGTCGGATCGTGTGTGAGAAATTCGCGTCGTATGCGGACAGATGGGCAGCAGAGGCTTCGTTTGGAACGTGGCAGGGTCTGTTGGTGGGGGCCGAGGCGAGAGGTGTGTGAAGGTGACGGGAAAAGCAAAAAGGTTCGTGATATAGAGGTGAGCTGTCCGGACGAAGGAAGCGGTGGATAATAACTTGTGCACGTAGCGGGTTTAGCCCTTCGGCAGGGAGCTGCTTGTCTATGTCAACCCCCCGATTGGCCGTCTTGGGCGCCTCACCGACGCTTCCCGATGCGCTGCCAGAACGGGTAACCAAACCCTGTGAAATTACTGGTGGGGCTGACCTTCGTATCGCCGTATCGCGGGGACGGCCCTTCACTTTGAGTTGCAAATTCCGCACTTGATGACAACAGTATAACGCTTATTGTCAGATTAATTGCTCGCTATGCAGTAATGTCTATGATCCCAGAACCTTGACCTTCATCCATTCGCTCGTCCCTACTCCGAGGTTTAGTCCGTTCAAAGCCCACCACCGCATCACTGCGTCTCCCCTGTCTCCCTCCACGCCATCTTCCAACGCTTCCTCAATGTCGCAAGTCTTGTATTCCACTTTTAATCCACTCTGCTTCCACCACTCCAGCACATCGGCATGACCCATCTTAGTTGGCCCCACTAGGACCTGATTGTCAAACAGAATCTTCTCGCCCCGGAGTTTGCGCCAGTATTCCAGGATATTGGTGTGGCCATATGTCGATGCAATCTTGGCTACCGTGTCTTCATGTGAAAAGGGAATGCCAGAGTCGACCCAGAACTGTATGGCGGGCAGACACCCAGACTGGGTAGCGTAGGTAATGGACTTGCCAACCTTGAGTTCCAGATCTTCCCGGGTTGCTTTACCGGAAACTTGCTCTTCCACGGGGGTGCTAGGGACCGAAGCGGTACTTCTATAACGACTGTGCTCTTTCCACCATTTAAGCACATGAATATGACCCTGAGAGCTTGCCTGCTCAAGCGCCGCTTCAGTGTATCTTAGCTCTAGTCCGCAATCGTACCACCAATTCAGGGCTTGGATCGAGTTGGTGCGGCTCGCGTTGTCAATAGCTTCTTCAGAGTACTCCTTGGTGAGGAACGTTGGCGAAGTTCTCCAGTACTCCAGAATCTCCGTCTTGCCAAACACGGAAGCCTTGTGCGGCAGAAACGTGTGGCCAAACGTGCCCCAAAAGAGTTCCTTGTGGAACTTTTCGAGATGTGCGAGGATGGTTACCATGGCAAAGCGCATAATGAGTTCGATGCACATGCGCGAGATGCGGGTAGGCTTCTCCGAAGCGAACATGTTCTTGATTTCAGAGTACGGATAGGTGAGAAGAGCCCATTCCAGCTTTTGCATCTGGGTCTTGGGGCCTTCATCGCTCGCTGCTTGTCGCCACTCCTTGGGCACGGGCAAATTTGTGTGGACGTTTAGTGTGGTTGCTAGCTCCCAGTCCTTTGTGAATTCGAGTATGATGGACCACAGCTCGGGTGGGAGGCGGGGTCCTTTACTCTTTGCAGGTGTTAGTGTGGGCAGGTGAGCAATAGGCAGTGCAACGGTACGGTCGCCGACCGCCATCAAATCGACTTGCGTCTGTATGGATTCGTTGAAAGCCTTGTGGCCTTCGACCCATGAATGGTACTTGCGACCGGCGTGGTCGAACGACCACAGGTAGGGAGGGAGGACGCGAATCCAGTTCCACTTCCTCCTGATCTTGCTAATCTGCTTCCGCGACATGGGGTTCTCCCACATCAGTGTGGACATGCCCGGTATGAGCAGAACTTTCTTCGAGACATTCCAGCTCCGTAGGACTTTCAAGTGTAGGTTATTTGTGAAACCATGCAGCATACGCGCCAGGTTCTCTGCGTCGAGCGGTGCAAGGACCAGCAGATCGGCCCAGGCACAGTACTCGGCCACATTGGTCTCCATGTAATCCGCATGTTGCCAGTCGGGCGTAGTATTGTTCTCAGCATCATATGTGTGCCATACGGGCTCGATCTGGGGTGGGACAGTCGTGTGGGTGGTCGTGGGGAAGTCTTTGCAAGCAATAACCTTCAGGGACACATGGTTGAGGCGGTATAGGCGCGCGACGATGGAACAGCCGAAGCGGAAGGCGGAAGGGTCAGTCAGTGCGACGAGGACGTTGAGCGTGCGCGGAGAAGTTTGTGAGGACATAGAGGACGTCAGCGTGCGGTGATGGTGGTTCTGAAACTTTGAAGGATCTCAGAAAGCATTCCTGAATGGAGTCGTTGGAAGCGTGTGTTAAACCGTCATTGGCCGATGCCCCACAACGACTTGATTGCGCACGCTTATCGGATCGCTATCTGATGCAACAGCTGTGGCTAGGCACCCTTGCCGAGCCTCAGGGACCAGTCCAAGTGCACGTCTGCGTCTAACGTCTGTCACGGTGTCATCCATTTTGAATCTGACCAGTTGATGCAGCCTGGCTAGCAAACTTGCCGGTCGAAACTGGCGGTTGAAACTCAGCTGCAGTCGAGCCGTGGGTGCGCCAATCAGCGAGCGGGTAATTACACAATCACAAACTTAGCACGTGATGGGGACGTACGTAAGTACATACCTAATGTAGAGGTGCAGTTGATGCTGTTAACATCGGCACTCGGACGCAGGCGTGAAACAGTTGAGACGTTAGAGTCCGACTCCGACGTCCGCAGACGTCACGTGCATGGCTGCAGACAGCACCTGTGCCACTTACGAACCACCTGGGAGCTGCAACCTCGGACGCACAACGGGCGCGGGGACATGTTCCGTCCAATACAGCGACAGCGCGACGCATCTGCATGCGTCCGAGATGAATTCAACCGTTAGCAAAAAGGTTGAAGATGCAATGGTGCAGCAACAGTGACAGATGATGTCGACGAATCAGCCACGGTCCACGCCCTACTCCACTGGTGACGTCAGCGGCAACAGGGTCATGATTCCCCATAGCCGCAAGATGGGCGGCTCCGCGGTTTGGTTGATGCAATTGTCGCCAAAAATCCATGTCCCTGGGACCACTTGGTCCGCCAAAGCTTTTCATGTCTCGCCCGTGTCCTGCACCCGCTATGCTTGACTGGGGCAAAATCGTCGATCGCAGAGATAGACCAACTATACCCAAAATCACAACGATCGCCGTCTGTGAGTGCATCAAGCCATAGTACTGTCTGTCCGTGTCTTCATGGCAGTCATCCATTTTGTCGACTAGACTGTGACGCGCTTGCTTCATCTTGTGTGCACCAAAAGTCCAGTCTAGGGAGTAGCTTTTTTCCGCAAACGCCCGCCTTCTACCTCTTCTGCTTGTGCTCCTGGTTCCCGCCGTGGTTGCGACATGCCTCGCGCTCGCACTTGACCACTTGCTGCTTCCTTGAAAGGCCCAGAATTTGCCCCCCCGCAACGCCACACCACCCCAGCAGCTCGACTGCCAACTCCATGCAGCTGTCCAACACGCACCACGGCCAAAACAAAAGGGACTCCTTTTAGGGACTGTCCGCGCTATTGCCACCTCTCCGTAGGTCCCTGCATAGCGCCAAGCCATACCGCGAACCTACGACTGCCGCTGCCGTCGAGAATATTTCCTTCACACGTCACCGTCACTGTCCAAAGGCAATCAGACGCACATGGACGCTTGAAGGGCTCTCCGACCGCGTGCGGGTGCTGTTATTTCTAGCCACGTCCCATCGCCCACGACACTCGGACCACAGCCAGCTAAGGCGTCTCCATGTCTCAATCACCATATCAGACGCCCGACGCTGGACCTCCTGCTCAGGACGACCACCGCTACACCTTCTCGACCGTGTCGCCTGTGCAGGAAGAAACGTGTTCGCCGCTTGATGCTGCGACGAAACCCCTACACTCGACCTCGCCGCCGCGCAAGTCAGCCAACACCGGCCCTTCTACGCCCGTCGGCCCTCTGAGCCCGTCAGCTACCGACCGCGTTTTCCCCATACGAAGTGCCATTAGCGTCGATCCCTCACCGACCCCAAAAGGTGCCCAGTCCCAGGGTGACTATTTCCATCCCTACTCCCGAACGAACGACCCGCGCCTCACGTCCGACCGCAGAGCCTCACAGGGCTCTGCCACATCACAGTCCTCGCATGCTTCGCAACGGGGCTGGCCCATGCGCCATAGCGCAAGCAAAGCAGATCCGGGCCGGGGAAATGGCTCGAAAAGAGCAACTTCACAGCTACCACCTGCCCAGCTATTCAATGATATTTCCTCTACACGATCAACGGGTACGGGGAGCGTGCAGGAAAACAGTCGCTCGCCGTCATTCAAGGTTGATCGCCCACCATCCGTGAGCGCGGCCTCCGCCAAAAGTGGAATCAGCAGTCTGGACATGGGCGGTTTGGTGGCACATCGATTTAAGCATGTCGTAACAGACGGAGGCCATATGGTTATTACTGGGCGCGAGGGCGATACGTTGCAGCGGTGTGAGGATGAGCCAATTCACCTACCGGGTGCCGTACAGGGCTTTGGCCTCTTGGTGGCGCTGCAGGATGATTCCGAAGGCAGTTTGCTGGTGCGCATCGTCAGCGAGAACTCTAGAAGGATCCTTGGACGTACTCCGAAAGAGCTGTTCGCGCTGGAGAGCTTCACGGACATTTTGTCCGAGGAGCAAGCCGACAACCTCCTGGACCACATCGATTTCATCAAAGACGAGGACTCCGACGTGACCTCAAACGGGCCCGAAGTTTTCACCATGTCTATCAAGGTCGCAGGACACAGCCGGACGCGTAAGCTGTGGTGTGCAATCCATATCAACGAAACGAACCCCGGTCTGGTGATCTGCGAATTCGAGCTCGAAGAAGACCCACTATACCCACTTGTACCGCCCAATGATCTTACACCTGAGCTGCCGGAAGATACTTTGTCCAGTCAGCCTACAGCTGAGGAGTTGTTGGAGAGCACAGAGATCAAGAGCAAGCCCTTGCGAGTTCTCCGCAGTGCACGGAAACGGAAAGGTGAAGCTGCTGCGATGGAGGTCTTCAACATCATGTCTCAGGTGCAAGAACAACTAGCCGCGGCGCCATCGTTAGAAAAATTCCTAAAAGTGCTTGTTGGTGTTGTCAAAGAATTGACAGGCTTCCATCGCGTTATGATTTACCAATTCGACCAAACGTTCAACGGACGTGTTGTTACAGAACTCGTAGACCCCCGAGCCACAAAGGATCTCTACAAAGGCTTGAACTTTCCTGCTTCAGACATTCCCAAGCAGGCGCGAGAATTGTATAAGCTCAACAAAGTCCGTATGCTCTACGATCGCGACCAGCAAACAGCACGTCTCGTGTGTCGTACAGCCGAAGATTTGGAAACCCCTCTCGATCTCACCCACTCGTATCTGCGCGCAATGTCTCCGATTCATCTCAAGTATCTCAACAACATGGCTGTGAGATCATCAATGTCCATCTCCATCAATGCTTTCAACGAGTTGTGGGGTCTCATTGCTTGCCACTCTTATGGACCTCGCGGTATGCGAGTCTCTTTCCCTATCCGCAAAATGTGCCGTATGGTAGGTGATGCAGCATCGAGGAACATCGAACGACTGTCGTATGCATCAAGGCTGCAGGCCAGAAAGCTGATAAACACTGTACCAACTCAACACAATCCTTCAGGATACATCATTGCCTCCTCGGACGATCTTCTCAAACTTTTCGATGCCGACTTTGGCCTATTGTCGATTCGCGACGAGACCAAGATACTAGGTACCTTGGAGAACTCTCAAGAAGCGCTGGCCATGTTGGAGTACCTCAGGATGAGGAAAATCCAGGCTGTCATGACGTCTACAGACATTGTCTCAGACTTCCCAGACCTGCGATACCCACCTGGCTTCCATGTCATAGCAGGCATGCTCATAGTACCCTTGTCAGTAGACGGTGAGGACTTCATCGTCTTCTTCCGGAAGGGTCAGCTGAAAGAAGTCAAATGGGCTGGTAATCCTTATGAGAAGTTTATCAAAGAAGGCACAGAGGGCTATTTGGAACCTCGAAAGAGTTTCAAAACATGGTCCGAGACGGTTGTTGGGAAATGCCGAGAGTGGACAGAAGAAGAAATCGAGACGGCTTCTGTATTGTGCTTGGTCTACGGCAAGTTCATCGAAGTCTGGAGACAGAAGGAAGCAGCTTTACAAAGCAGCCAGTTGACACGGCTACTGCTTGCAAACTCGGCGCATGAAGTGCGAACACCTCTAAATGCCATTATCAATTACCTCGAAATAGCTCTGGAGGGTGCTCTGGATACGGAAACCCGTGAAAATCTTTCAAGATCTCATTCCGCATCCAAGTCACTCATCTATGTCATCAACGATCTCTTGGATTTGGTAAGTCCACCACGTCAAAACGCTCACGACCGTCGCTCACGAAACTCTCAGACAAAAACGGAAGAGGGCGGCCCACTCATCAAGGGCGAATCCTTCGACTTCCAAGAGACCATCAAAGAGGCTACTGATATGTTCCGCAACGACGCCAAACGCAAGAGTATAAAGTACGAAGTCATCGAACATCCAGGTCTACCGAAACACTGCATTGGAGATCAGCGCCGGATACGGCAAGCCATCTCCAATATTACAGCCAACGCAATCCAACATACCACACAGGGAACTGTCAAGGTTGAGATATACGTCACAGGCCAGCCATCGGTAGATCATGTCGATGTCGAAGTAGCTGTGTCTGATACAGGAGCCGGTATGAGCCAGAAGAAGCTTGATCAACTGTTCTACGACCTTGAACAAGTCCATTCTGAGCCCACCTCCATGATAGAGGATGCACTTCTACCCGATCAAAAACACATTGCAAAGCAAGGTGAGAAAGCCACGTTGGGACTCGGATTAGCCATTGTTGCGCGGATTATCAGGAACATGAACGGGCAATTAAGACTACGATCGGAAGAAGGCAAAGGAACAAGATTCGTAATACAGTTTCCATTCGACCTCCCAGACTCCGAGATACAGAACATGTCCGCAGTAGGCGCATCGCCGTCTGGAAGCATCACACCTCAGCCCGATAAGTCGTTCCATAATGAGCCTAGCCTTTCCAATGGCGAGCGGACTTTGATAGCACCGAGCTTATCCCGCCACGCGTCTGATTCAGAGAACAAGGATCAAAATCAGCAAAGAAATCAACCGGTAACGCGGAGAGCAAGTGCGGAAAGTCTGACAAGCAAGACAAGCCTGCGAAGCTTCAAGAGCGGCTCAAGCCAGAGGAGCGATGTGGACAGGCTCATTGATGCCATACAAGAGCCACACATGGTCGGCCGAGGGGATATGAGTCCAAGTGTTCGATCTCTGAGACCGACTTTGACAAAACGCAACAGTTTAGATCCTGACTCTGCTGCGTCGCGGAAGAGGTCTAAGAGCCTTGAGCATATCAGCACTCAGAGCATCGTTCCACCGCACCAAAGAAGTATGGAATCAGGAGGACCTGGCGAGGAGAATATTTTTGGCTCGAATGCTCCTGTGACAGCGTTGAAAATGCCAGACGAGGGCGGTGACTCACCAATCGGCCTACGTAGAAGTGGAAGCATACTTGGCGAAGTTAAGAGCGAGTCGCCGCCTGGACCGACACCTCAGACACAACCGACGCCCCCGACAGACGCAACTCAGCCATCTCCCGAGCCCGAGCCTGCGAACCTATCGCCGAACAACATGCGCGTACTCGTGGCTGAAGATGATCCAGTGAACAGCAGGATCGTCAAGAAGCGATTAGAGAAACTCGGACACCAGGTGCACCTCACCGTCAATGGCGAGGAGTGCTCGTCTGCATTCTGCGACAACTCTCAAGAGACTGACATCATCTTGATGGATATGCAGGTTAGTGTAATTTGCCTTTAGTTTTGTTTATCATTAACGTGTGAAAGATGCCAATCGTGGACGGACTCACCTCGACCAAGATGATAAGGTCATTCGAAAAGCTACATCAAAACATCTATTCGCCACGAGCAGCCATATGTGGGCGCGTTCCCATTATTGCTGTTTCAGCATCGTTAATTGAGCGTGATCGACAAACGTACATCGACGCCGGATTCGATGCATGGATTCTCAAACCCATCTCATTCGATCGACTGAACAAACTCATGACCGCTGTGGTGGATAAAGAAATCCGCAATGACTGCCTGTACCAGCCTGGCGCGTGGGAAAAGGGTGGCTGGTTCCACACCGGAAAGCATAGCGCCGGAGAGGTGGACACAAAGCCGTCAGGAGAAGCTCCTGTAACCAACCCCTCTGAAGAGATGGAGGAGGCGATCATCCGAGACGATGATCCAATGGCTGGCGAGAAAAAGGAGGAGGGTGACATACCCGAAGAGCAGGAACGGCTCCTGGAAAATCAAGCGGAAGGAAAGACGGAACCACCCGAGGACAGCGCCGAGAAACCCCCAGCTTGAGATGGCTACCAGCTAAACACTCATCTCTGTCGATCCGTCTCCAACCATCGCCGTATCACCGTCCAAGCCCATGCTGCACGCATCTCAACTGTGGCATAATACCCCATCTCCCTCGGCGCGCGGTTCTCCCTCCACGCGCACGCGCCGGACAATACATCACTTTTTCCTTGTTCCCTTCTCTTCTGTCACACCATGACGTTACGACCGCCTCCGCATAATGGCTTATGGGCACGGCTACTTACAAGAAACCTTGTTTAAACTATACACACTTATTATTTTCTCTCTTCCCCTTCACTCTGTATTAAACCGGCGGCATTGTTGGAGTGCGCGCGCGCGAGCCCCGCCTTTGCAGCGTTGAGGGCTTGGTTTTCATCACCTGGGACTTGGGGAGCATGTGGCTATCTTTTTTGTGGGACCTGCCTGCCACAACGGTGTTCTTCTTTTTTTCTACTGGGTTTTTTTAGAAAGTAGAGCAAGCGTTTAGAGAAAGCGTGAATAGTGAGGGACGCGAGGGTCGGTTCGCGGTGGCTTTTGTGCTTGGTTCACGTTAATTGTGGGTGGTAGGTGGCATGTAGGGGAGAGGGTGTGGGTGGGAAGGAGGGGGATGTAAGGGTGTGTAGAAGAGAAACATGACATGAGACATGAGATGAATGGGATGCCACCAAAAAAACCAAGTCTACTTCTTCATGCTGATATGTGATGAACTCATCCATATCATATCTCTCATCCAATCCTTGTTAAAGTGTTATGCACTTTCATATCATTACAACACCTTGACTAATCCCATCCTCACCACCCATCCACCCTCCCCAAACAATTACCCATTAAACTCATCCCTCAATCCCCAAATGATCAACCTTTTTGCTCACAACCTCCCGTCCCTGCCCTTGCTCCTGCACAGCCCCCCGCTGACTACTCTTCAAGCTCCTCTCCTGCGCATGAGCAGCTCCGTATGCACTTCCGTTTGCACGTGCTGCTGCGTTTGCTCCCGCTATATGTCATCAGCCTAGCTCTCGTCCATTCTTTTGGGGTTGATGGCTGGGCACTAGGGGAAAGGGGAGCAGGCTACCTTTATCATGACTCTCCTCATGCGTCACACTCGATCCATCAGCGTTGTTATGTGTTGTTTTTGTCTTTTTCGAGGAGAAGGCGCCGGAGAGGGCGCCGAAGAGGTTGAGGTTTAGACCGGCCTTTGTATGGTGTTAGTTTTTGGTGGCTTGTGTATGTGTGGGTAGGATGAAAGGGGTACGATAAGGATGGTGTTGGATATGAGGGGGAAACGCACAGAAGCACTAGCACTAGCATTTCTCTCCTGCACACATTTCTCTCCAGAGGCTTGTCTTTGATGTTGGAGTTGCTGCTGGTGCTGTTGGGATTCGCTTTTGGAGATTGCTTGTGTCATTTTGTTCGTCTTGGTGTGTGCTTTCGTTTGAAGTGCTTATTGACAAGTGATGAGATAGATTTTGTGTATAGATATATTGTTGCAGAAAGTATAAATCTTTTGAAGATGCTAACAGGAACTACCTCTCCCTTTTGTATTCATACCTCGATGTTGGCATGGTGGTTTGAGGGATTGGAGGTATGACGTCACTTTTCTCACGTACCTTGCAAGGAATAGGGTAGCAAGGGATAGCAACAGGTTTTAGCACGAACGAGTGCAGGGTCTGGTTTAGGGTCTAGATGGGCGATGGGGTAGTCAAGTGGGGTATGGTGGAAATAATGGGTAGGTGTGTATGCTCAGACTATCTACACGTTGTAGTACATATGTATATATACAACAATCGCTAACACTCGAAACCAGCTAATTCAACAGAACCTCCAAAACATTATCCCAAAATCCCAAATCATACACATTCTCCACCTTTGCCAGATTCCACACGCGCTCAAAACTATCTTCCTGAGCGACGGATTTGATGCGACTGGGCAGGGATTTGGGGGGCTGACCAGTTTGCGTGCGGATGAGTATGTGTCTGCTTTCCAGGGGCCAGGTTGTCGGTGGTTCTTCTTCTGATTGAAATGATGACGAGGAAGAGTGACCGTGCATTGTATCTTCTCTTCGCTGGCCGAGGAAAACTACACCTTCTACCATGTCGTCGCTCCAGTCTGACCACTTGCCGCTTTCGTTGGTCGTCATGCCGGCCCAGATGAGGTAGATGTGGTAGCCAAAGAGGGCGAGGGGGAGAGGCCATGTGAGGAGTGCGAGGAGGCCTACGCCTGAACCTCGGACGCCGCCGACGTCGAGGTAGATGGTTGTGTAGGCGAGGAAGTAGTGGAGTTTTTGGTCGAAGAAGGTGCTCCAGCTCTTGGTGTTTACGCCGGGGGTGGGATGGTATCTGTACCAGCTTTCGTACTTCAGATATTGTTTCCGGGCTTGAGGCGAGAGCGTGTAGTAGGCTAGGTAAGCTCCGTAGGCAATTAGTATGGTTGTTGATAGTAGGAGGGCGAGGAACCACTTGTAGTTGCCTCGTCCTAAGCAGTTGTTGACCCATATGCAATGGTGGTCCATTCTTGAGACGCATGTCTTGCATATACTACAGTGCTTGCTACGCGCTGGCTTCAGGAACTTGCATGTCCGACATGCAGTGTTTGGGTAGTACAGTATCCTATCATATGGATAGTGTCGCATTTGCTCGGCATGATTGTGTGTGTTGATGTATGTTTGGTCGTTCTTCTTTGCGCTCAGGTACACGAACAAGTACGGTTGTGGTAGTAGGATGAAGGCTAATAGTTTGTGATACCATTGAAGGAGGTGCCAGACAGCGGGAAGGAATAACGTCGCGGAAGCGGTTACGAGGCCGAGGAAGAAGATGACGACGAGTGGATGCTTGTCGTGCATGAGGTAGTTGCCCAGACGGGAGCTGGAATCTGTGATGCGGCCATTGGTGAGGGCGAGATCGAGTCTTCGGAGTGCAGAAGGGATGTGGATAAGGATGAGGCGGTTGAGAAAGCCTATGGGTGTGTTTCTAGTATGATCAGATACTGTTATATGAAATTGAGACGTGTGCATACCTAAACGCTGGTAATCGACCAAAGAAAAATATGAACGTGATCGTGGATACGGTAGCAGTGAAGATGATTATGGTTCGTGCGACGGTCATGGTGAAGGAAGCTCGAATTGGCTAGCACGTCGCATAGCGGAACAAAGAAAAAAGTACAGTGGTGGATCTCTATTGTAGATGGCGCATCCTCAGACCTCAGAACCGTCCACAACAGCTTCAACTCCGTAAACGCCGCCCGAGACATGCGTAGGGCTGAAGGCCGCAGCCGCTAGGCGACCCCGCGTGAATCCTCCGAGTCGCATGTGAGCACGCGTCGCAACCTAACTAGCCAACGCGTCCACTCTCCTCACCAACACCACCAACACGAGCCCAGTATGGCCGGGCCAACCGTATACGAAGACGTCGCCGAGGATTTGGATTTCGGATCTGGGCCCAAATTGTTCACAGGAAAGAAGTTCTTCGTTGCACAACGCGTACCGATCCGGAAACACCTACTTGACGACATAAAGTCCAATGGCGGAGAAGTCGTGTTGCTAGAGAAGCAAGCAGATTACCTAATTGCCGACCACTTCCAGAACCATTGTCCACCAGGATCGATATCGTACCAGTTTATAGAGGAGTCTATCAAGCAAGGCGAGCTTGCGAATCCGGACGACCATCCCGCGGGACCACCAATCGGCCAGGCGCGAGAGGCAGGCGCAACCCACCAACCCCCCAAAATCGGGAGATCAGCATATACGGCAGAGGAAGATAGGATACTCTACAAATGGGTACGCGACGCCGAAGCTGCGGGCGGCCTTGCAAGTGGGAACGAGCTCTATAAGCAGCTGGAGCAAAAGGTAGGCGCGAACAAAGAAATGTAGTGGGGTATGCTGACGGAAGATAGTATCCGAGGCACACATGGCAGTCATGGCGCGATCGCTATCTCAAGAAACTGAAACAATATCCTCCAAAGGGGTTGAGTGTAGCTGACAACGCTCCTCCTTCTCCCGCTTCCGATCGGTCCAACGAACGCGCGCCTCCAGTAGCCCCAAGAGAAGCACCCAAGAAGAAACAGCCTGCGTCTAAGCCTGTACCCGCTACCAATGTCAGTGAAAAGCCCAAGAAACACGAATATAAGGTGAACGAGCTCACTGACATGTTCACCACGGAAGACTGGCTAGACCTCTACGCCTATGTTGACCTTATCGATGCAACCAAAGAGGATGGGCGCTACGATGCTAAATGGGTTCTCTGGGCAGAACATCGGGGCGAGCAGACGTCCGAGCAATGGAGACAGTACTACGAAAAGGTTGTTCGTCCGCAGTGGCTACGTGATCCGCAATCGAAAAGGGATAGAATCAGGGAGGAAATGGACCAGAAGCATGCTGAAGAGAAGTTAAGTCAGAGTCAATCCGTGCGCGAACAGCTTTCAGAGCATGAGGAGTCCGACGAAGAACCAGTAGCACCTACGCCCGCGATTAAGGAGAGTAAAGCGGCCGACCAACCATCTGAATCTGAAGATGAGGGGTTTGAGAACTTTCTCAATGAGGAAGGAGCCGGCAATCCTCCCGCAGCATATAAGTTGTACGCTCGAGAAATGAGACAGGCTGCATCGACTGCCCAACCTAGTCTAGACTATGGTAAGTACCGGAAGACAAGTCACATCCATATCAACACTGAAAAATTACCATAGCCGCACTGCATAATTTCCTATTGACGCAGTGGCACTCGCTTTCCGAGGATGAGAGAGCGCCTTACCTTGCCATGGATCAAGCTCTCACAGAAATCACCATAGTCACACCAAAAGCCAAGACCAGAATAGCTACCGACAACAAACTGCCATCATCCTCAACGGCTCGCCCCGAGTCTCCGGAAGCATATAGGAAACTGCACGAGACGTTTGTGAAGCGATTACGCGATAATTCAGAAGACGAGGAAGATGTACAAGTACCTCGACCCATCAAACGCAGAAAGAGCAGAAGTGCAACACCTACCAATGACGACGTAATTGGCACTGTGGACCAGCCATTGGAGATTTCTTCTGCGGAAAGTTTTCAGTCCCTGTCTGAATCAGAGCTTGCTGGGCAAGAGACTGGACCCGATATGCCCGTGACACTAGAGGTCGAAGAGGACGAGGATGAGGAGGCTACTATGGTCGAGCACGGCGGCGAGAATGAAGGGAATGAGGTAGAGAGCATCGAGTCGGATGATTTTCTACGTTTCCAAAAACTGCCTCCACCCCCGGACATCTACGATACGGCCTCCGAGGACGAATTGCCTTCAAACACCCCAACGCCACGTGCTGTACGACAGACCAAATCCATTTTCGACACACAAGCAATCCTGTCTTCACCCACCGAAGACCCCAGAGACAAGTTTATACGATCCTTTGGCAAGGATGCAACGCCCAAACAAAAAGCACTCAGCCCTTCACCATTCGACTACCCAGAATCTGTTGCTTCAACAACTCAATCTCTCGAAGAATTTCGCAGCTCCCTGCGAGAAAAAGCTGCGGCTGAAGCATCCCCCAAACCGCTTCGTATATCTGCTTCCCCATCACCAGCACCATCTAGCGTCTCTTCCACAGGCTCAGGTGATCCAGACCCGCCCCTCACAGCCGACGAGATCAACGAGTTCTTCGACGAACAAAACGCCAGAGGCATATCCAACGCCTTCGTCAGCGCAGCACTCACACGCACACGCTTACGACCTGATCTTGCCATCGAAGTACTAGACGCATGGACAGCAGGAAAACCCCTGCCAAATAAAAGGGGCATCTGGAGTAAAGCCGATGATGAAGTCGTAGAAGGTTGTGATGGACCTGCACTGAAGCGGTTGGAGAAGAAACATACGACGGATGGGTGGGGCGGTATTACAGAGCGCTTAATATTTTTAGAGGGGGCTAGGAATCGGAGGAGTGGAAAGTTTGAGTGATGGAGTTGTTGGGTTTTGTTGGTGGGGCTTGGTTTGTGGTTGGAGTTATTCTTTTCCTGGTATACCCTTTTCGAGCACTTGGCTTTTGTCCTTTGAGGATGTTTTTGCTGTTATGTGATCGGTGTAGTCATTCTTTCGAATGAGAAGCGTGAAAATTGCCTTTGTATTACTCCTAATTGCCCTCATGACCGATTGGTTCACTGCATCAGTGATGGTGTCCAAGCTCTTCCTCACGCCTGTGAAAGACTAGACATGTGATCTGGTGAACGCGCTAGTACTGAACTAGCACTGACGCGCCCCGCGTCTGCTTTCTTCGACCATACGACCCTCGCAATCCCACAACAATCGCGGCGAGATGTCCACACGAAATCGACCCGGGAAAGCAAGACCGACTCCCAGTCGCCTTTCTGGCACGGCCAATCCCTCCCCTAATGCAGACGTGCTCCCACCGTACAAGAAGCCATCGCACCCCCTCGACCAAGAAGCGAGTGCAGCTATACGAACGTTGCGCGGACGGAATCTGGAGGAAGTGAAGAAGCACAATAAACAAGCAGTCTCAGCGATCATAGAAAGCGCTGCGGGTGTCAATGATAGACTACGCGAACATGGCGAGTTCATGGAACGGCGCAGACCCAAGTGGGATGCGGGCAAAAACCTTGAAGAGAAGGAAGAGGTGGAGCGCGAGATGCAGGAACTAAAATCCCAGGTTGAAGGAGCCACTGTGAAACTGGAAGAGAGCATGCGAGCTATCATTGACTCCGGGGTCGCGACAGAGCGAATTGACGAAACGCTTGAATGGCTGAGAACCAACGGGCCCCAACGACTGAATGAAGAGTACCAGACGCAAAGAACACTGCGACGAACACAGCGAGAATTGCAAAGCCAAGCAGCAAGTCAGCGACAGCGCACACAAAACGAGGATGGCGAGGACGAGGAAATGGACGTTGGACTTACACCTGGGCCTACACCTCTAGATGGATCGCGCATAAAACTAACGGGCGCAAGTGAGCTGTTCCAAACCCGTATGCAAAACCAAAAAGATGCCTACACGTCGCTTAGCCTCGAAACACGGTATGCTCGTAATAACGACTACCGCGAGTTCAAGAAGATGGTACACGATGCCAAATACGGTGATGAGGGGCCTGCCCTCGGCCATGAAAACACATGGTTTACCGAGACTGGATCACCTGCACCAGGCGTCACAGACGGCACTCATCGGGGTGATCTCGACGACGATGATGATATTATCATGGACAGGGCTACGATAAGTACCAGATGTCCGATCACATTCCAGAATTTCAAAGACCCTGTTACGAGCACCAAATGCCCGCACACGTTCGAGAAGGTCGCAATCACAGATATGGTTAGGAGAGGTCCTCATAGGGTCGGAACAGCCCCGGCCGTGGAATGTCCGGTCAGTGGGTGTAGCCACGTAAGTGTACTCAGCCCTCTCTTCAGCCGTGTATTGACATTGCTTCCTAGATACTCACCAAAGACGATCTCCGGAGCGATCCGATCATCATTCGCAAAATCAAGCGAATGCAAGAACGCGATGAAGCGCCAGATGATGGCGAGAATTCGGACGATGAAGTCCAAGCTCCAGTTCGGGATGTCGACGAGCTGGATAGTGAGTGAGACGGGATGAAAACGATAGGACCGTGCCACTAGCAGCGGCCCCAACGTAGTGACTTGGAGGATGTAGGAGAGCCGAACGATTGCGAGTGAAATATCCGCTAGACGGACTTCATTAGAGCACTATCGTTCCGAGGTATGAATTGGTTGACACCCAGGGTCGTCTAGTGTAGAAATTCATCATGCAGCAGGTCTTGAGACACGACTGCCACTGCATAAATTGAGTGCAGCACTACACATGTAGCTAAACACCTGACAGGCTTCCCGTACGGCAAAGCAGTGCCAACATGTTCGCGAACCTTTGATTATCCCCGCGGGAGTCCGAATCGGCGACCTCCTCCACATGCCCGACGGTCTTCCGGAAAAGCCATGGATGTTTTCCTTCCGCTCACGGAATTGCCTTCGGAATTGCAACTGATAGCAACAACAACCGGGCCGCAAATGTGATGATCCGGAGTCTATACAAGTTCACTGCTTATCGCCAGAAGAAAAAGGCCCTTCGGCCGCGGATAGCGTCGGGACAGCTAAGCACAGGTCCAAAGTGCGCAGGGCAAACCTCGACACCGCCTGACGGAGGGGAAGAAGGGGTCTTCCCCGAAACCCCAAGCAGCCCTTGGCTTCTCCCGCCCGTTCGCGCGAAACGGTGACAGATGATAGTCCGACAAACACAAGGCATTGCGCTGCATGTGCACGTCAGGCCAAGGTCACGCACGGCCGTGGCTCCTACACTTGTGAAGGCGGGACCAGCGCGGAACTGCGCGCTGATGTCACAAGACCTTTGGCGAGTATCGAAACGATGTAGAGTGATGCCCGACTACATTTGCATGGCTAGTTTGCAGAGAGCTTTTGGCATGTGATGGTGACCGGTATTTTTGGTGTTGAGGCTACGATGGTACGATTGGCCGAGCGTGGCCGGTGCGAGGAGACGTCATTGCTGGTAGGTACATGGCGGTTCCGCATATAGCGCAATCGATGAATTGAGTATACGGATTACGATTGTTTGAACATGGCATTGAGGTTTCATTCGGATAGATGGACGACTAGAAAGCTTTCACTGCAGAAGCTCCGGGCTGACATGTGTCTGGCATCATCTCACAAGCTTGCCAGCTGCCAGCAAAGTCACAATCGCATCACAGCTCAAGTGTCAGCACACGGCGATTGGTTCCTGGAGATGGGATTTGGTGGAACAGGGCAGCTCAGTGGCTATTCCCAACAGTGGCTCCATCTCTAATGCGGGGAAGCACAGTTGAACCCCTCAATCCATGGTACCGGTCGAGTGGCTGGCGTGTTGACAAGCAAGAAGAACAGATCATCGTACTCGTGTGCTCGTAACCTCTTCATCCTCAGCCTTGGACTCCAGCTTCGTCTTCTTCATCTTGGCCTCACCATCGCATTGTCGCATCGTTGTTGAGCGTTTGAATCGGGTCGCGATACACACGTCCCCACTAAGCCGCGACCCACTACCCACACACTCCACCCCTACTCCTACGCGGGCTGGGCCTCCGCACAGACTCCAGCACAAGCACGAGGTACGCCTGCACCACCATCTTCCCTTCACCGTCTCAAAGCACCCGCACAATTGTAATCCATGGCGCGGGCGCCGCCGGAACATGATGGGTCAGAGCACCGGCAGGCCATTTCGGCAGCGCCAATGCGCGCCTAAGGTCAGACTTCCTCAGTGCCCGACGACGCACTATCGTGTCTATGTCATCGCCGACTAGCTTGCGACGTCCACGGCCGCGGTGCAAGCCCGCCTGGAAACAACGTCTCAGGCTGAGGCTCTGTAGGCGGGTCTACACCTCACGGACGCCATGTGGTAATGCCGTAGCTCTAGGATATAGAGTCGCCAGCCGTCGTTCTTTTGTGGGCTCTCTTACTCCATCAGTTCCAGTCTTTCTTCACATTTGTCTATTCTAGTCGAGCATAGCGCAGCGTTGATACCCCCCCAAAATCTCCATTGTTACCCACATATCATACTTCACACTTCTTTTTTACATCAAGACACTTGCTGTCTCGTCACTGACAAACGCAATGTCCACTACAGCAGCAGTCAGCTCCCAAACCCTTAAAATGCCCGCCGCCCGCGCCCTCGAAAACGCAAAGCAATCTTCAGAAGCTGTCCTTAGTGACGCCTCATCCGCCATGTCGAGAGCAGCAGAGAACCCCAAAAAGGTCACTTCAGACTTCCTCCACACTCCATTCATGCGAGCGGCCCTCCCCTTCATCAACGGCGGTCTCGCAGGCATGACAGCAACAACGGTAATCCAACCCGTCGACATGGTAAAAGTACGGCTCCAACTAGCCGGCGAAGGCGTAAAAACCGGCCCCAAACCCACGCCTGTAACCGTCTTCCGGGACATTCTCGCCCAAGGCAAAGTCATGGACCTCTACACCGGCCTCAGCGCCGGCATTCTCCGCCAAGCCGTCTACACAACCGCCCGCCTCGGCTTCTTCGACACCTTCATGAAGACACTGAGCCAGCGGGCCAAGGACAACGGCACAACCATCGGCTTCAAAGAGCGCGCAGGTGCCGGTCTCGCCGCCGGCGGTCTCGCAGCCATCGTCGGTAACCCCGCCGACCTCGCCCTCATCCGCATGCAATCCGACGGTCTCAAACCCGTCGCTCAACGCGCAAACTACACGTCCGTCATCGATGCCCTGGTCCGCATCTCCAAAACAGAAGGCGTCACACGACTCTGGGCGGGTTCCTACCCCACCGTCGTGCGCGCCATGGCCCTGAATTTCGGCCAATTGGCCTTTTTCTCAGAAGCCAAACAGCAGCTCAAAGATACGAATCTTTCGTCGCGTACGCAGACGCTTACTGCGTCGGCTGTCGCCGGCTTCTTTGCTAGTTTCTTGTCCCTGCCGTTTGACTTTATGAAGACCAGGCTGCAGAAACAGACAAAGGCTCCTGATGGCACTATGCCGTACAAGGGCATGTTTGATTGCTTTAGGAAGGTTGCTAAGGAGGAGGGTTTGTTGAGGTTTTACAGGGGGTTTGGAACTTATTACGTTCGTATTGCTCCGCATGCGTAAGTTACTCCTCGTCCAGTTTACTCAAAATCTCGTTGCTAACATCATTGACAGAATGGTCACGCTCATTGTTGCTGATTACCTCGGTTTCATCACCAAATAAGCAGTGTCGCTGCTGTTATTGCTGACAAGCTGGAACGAAACGAACGAACGAGTAAACGTTTTCTTATCTTTTCTTCTCTTTTCTGGGACACATGATTTGGGCGTTTTTGGTATACCTCGTCATCTGAGAGGTTGGATCCTTTCCTTTCCTTCTTGATCTCATCATTCATCATTTATGGTCTTGTTTACCTCGTTGGCATGTATGGCAGTTGTTCTCCGCATGAAGCGATTGGTTCTTTCATTAGGGCGTTCTTTTTGTATATGCTGCCTCATATGGGCGTGCGTACAGTTCAGTTTGATGTTGGTTGTGAAGGTGGTTGAGCTGGTAAATGAATATCAATTATATAAACATTTTCACTTCTACCACGGCCATTTGATTGAAACGAAGCAGCAATCGTTTGCCTGTCCTAGTGTTCTTTTCCATAGTAACAACAGTAGTTTAGAAATCACACGGACTAACTATACAGGGAGACTAGGGGTGTCACAGATGTAAGTGCCAATGTATACATTGTCTATTGCGAAAATGAATTACGCAAGGAGAGAGGGAAAAGATTTCTCCAAACGAAAGCACTCAGCCATGACTCAAGATGAAATTAATGTCACAAGTTTATGATGATAGTTCAAAGAATCTCATCTCATGATAGTCTGTTATTCACAAGCCATGCACCTCGCAAATATGCACATAAGGGTCCCTACACCACCTGCTAATCTCGTTCCCACACTCCCCCAAAGCGGAGACTTATCCCAACCCACCCCAGTGTTACCCACTCACTCATCTCCTTCCACCCCCAATGTCCTGCCCCAGCCGATACCCACTAATCTTCTCCCACTCAATCTTCTGCCTGGTAATCGGCAACTGCCTCCTGAGCGCCTTGAAAGCGCCCTCACTCAAGCTCGCAAACGCCTTATTCAAATCCTCCTGATACTTCTTCTCCTCGGCCGCAACCTTGCGCATAACCTCTGCTGCGCCCGCACCAGCCCCCACAGACACATTAACCTCTTTGGTGGTAAGCAGCCTGACGTTGCCGTCTTCGTAATAGTGCACGTCGACTTTTATGGCGCCCGTGATGGAGCCAGAGGTGGTGTCGTAGATGTAGGAGCTGCGCCAGCGGCCGTTCCAGTAGTTTGTGGGCGAGTACTTGTTTGCGACTGTGAGGATGGCGAGAGAGGAGGGGGAGCTGGGAACGGGGTAGACGCCGTGCGAGGAGCGGGGGTAGTGTTCTGAGGCGTGAGTTGCGAGGGCTTTGTTTAGGCTTTTGCTATTGTTGGGTTAGCTATTGGAGAGGATATGTATCCTGTGAGGAGGGTTGGGTTGGGGATGTCGTACACCAAGTCTGCCTGTTCACTCTCGAGAACGTAGCTCTGTACTGCACTCGCTTTGCCGGTCGCATGGTCAAAGTCAAAAGAGCTTTGGGTTTCAATGTCGTAGTATCGTCCGTCGCCCAATGAGTTATGTTCGCTGACTAGCACCTCGGTGGCTCCGCCGGGTAGCTTCGTGGTCGTGAACTGCTCCTCATTGTACTTTTGGAACGCAGGCGAGAGTTCGTTGGCTACCGAGTCGTCGCCCAGAATAGACTTGATCGCCTTGGTTACTTCGGTGAGCTGTCGGGGGGTATTAGTTATCGGGTTGCTGTTGCGGTGATGATGTGGGGCGGATTGGGGGGGGGGGGGGGAATGGCAAGGAGGGCTGTTTACCTCACCCGGCGGGGCGCTGGAGATGAAGGAGGAGAGAGCTGCTGTTCGCGGCATGGCGGCGGTCGTCGGGTATAGAACACCGGAATTGGTCGTGGGAAGACGCGTAGCAAAGCTGCAATTGTTTGCCGTTGTGTACAATACTAGGCAAGTTGCGGGCGCAAGTCGAGGCGCAGGGACCAAGTGGGGGTGCAGGGACCAGTCGTCACCTTCACAGACGTGGACGCGCCGAATTCAGGGTGCAGATGAAACAAGGTCCTTGGAATATGAGCATCGTGGAAATTTCTCCCGGCAGTAGAATCCCATACAGTCCTGCTAGAGAACACACCAGACATTCACTAAGATACCAGATAGGACTTAACATCATGTATACGTTTGGGTATCTATGACAAGCAAAAGCTTGTTAAACAATAACGCCGCGCTTTTTATGTTTTGATATACAAAAAAAGTAATGCTTCCAACTATTCAATGCTCATTTTCATAAGGCCGTCGCTCGTGTCCGTCATACCCTGCAGACCTATCCGCTTTGGGCCCAGGGTTGGAGTCATGCTCATACTCATGCTGCCTGCGCTGTTGGAACGCTCGCCATTTGAATGGCCACCGATTGAAGTTTCTCTACCAGCTTTGGCTGTGCCCCATAAAGTGTTGTCTCGTTGCGCGGGTGATTGAGAGATGACTGGGCTGTTATGAACACTGACACCAGGTGATACTGCTCGACGTTTGATCGACGCCTCGTCAAAGTCGTCGTCTCGTCGGCGCTTGTTGGACTTTTTCAATGCTTCAGCCGCTGTCGGAGGTTGCATTGGGCCTGGAGTGGACGCTCGAGACGTCGCGTTGTGCTCAGCTCCAGTGGGCCCAGTTGGTGAATCCATATTCATGTCTTCACTCATTGCAGATGACTCTCCGCGAGGAAAGGATGGAGGCGGCGGGGTTTGGGTTGCGCGATGGTTCCAGAAGCCATTGTTAGAGCTGCGACTATTGTTCAGACTACCCAGTGCACCGAAAAGTCCCTTGGTTGCCGAACCATCCAGACTCATGTTGCTCTCGCTACCTTCTTCTGGCACACCCTCAAGCGGACCATCAAGTCCAGGTACAGTAGGCAACAGACTGGGCGACGACTGTGCTGTGACTGACGTCCGGTCTGTATCTACATCGCTTTCTCGTACTTGTCGGATGATTTCGGCTTCACGGCGGAACTCGCTATCAACGGGAGCGGCCTCTTCGAATAGCTCGGCTCTGATGCGACCAAATTGTCTCGACTTTGGCTAAGAAAGTCAGTACCTCACAGCTTGACAGTGATAAAACATGCTTACAAGCAGATTGCCCCTCCGCGTAACCGCCCGCTTCACCACACCTGGAGTTTGGGGTCTATGTGCAGCTTCATCACCGCTATCATTGCCAGATGAAATATGTAAATCATTTGCGAAGAGTGAGAGGCTCTCCCGTCGCGAACCAGCTTTTCGCATCGCAGCTTCTCGCGCAGCATACGCGGTTTCTTTACCATTTGGCGGTGAAGCAGGGCCAGGGCTCGCCATTGAGCTATGCCCGCTAGCTGAGCTCGAGCTCTTTCGGCTTCGACCCTTGCGCAACCTCGCTCGATGCATGCTTGCAAAATTAGGCTGTCCACCAGGTGAGAAGAGATTAGACCAGTTGCCGCCGTTGGTGTTGAGTCCTGGGAACAAAAAGTTGGTCTTTGGCTGTGGAGTCATGATCATGGGATCGTCGTGGTCATCAGGGTCCAATGGATCCACCTCGTCCGAAGAGCTGCTGGAGTCTTCTGAGCCCATCATGTTGATGCTTCCCACCGAGCTTGAAGGGGCGGTTCTATCGCCATTATTCCATGCCATATTAGGCGAGTCCAGCAGCATCGAGTTGGAACGAGGTCTCCGCGCTGGTATCTTGATGCCCTTTTGCGTGATTGTAGGCGACGAGTCTGGCGACGATTGATCCGGAAGCGTCGAATGGTGGAGGTTTGTACAGGCTCTGGAGAATTCAGCACCGCGAGACCGTCGGGGCAACAGGGAGGCTGGTGACGCGTAGGTATTCCGTGAGTCTAATTGCGGTGAAAGTGGCACCCGCGCAGCAAAGTGAGCGGGACTGGGCATAGGCGATTCTCGAGGCGGCATTTGCAGGGACAGGCCTCTTGAAAGGAAGTCGGGACGACGCGGAGTCGTGGGTGTCGCGTTGAGGTCGTCTTTTGACATACGTGCGGCTTCAGGTTCGTTGAATTTGGGTGATGGTTCGAGGTCAGGGAGCGATCTTGCTTTGGGCGAGGGCGGTTGTGGTTGAGGCTCCATCGCGGCTCCTGCGCCTTGAACCATGGTTTCGCGTCCGTTACTACCTATGTTTTGTGCTTTGGCTGACAACATTGTGTGAAATTGGTAGTTTTGTAAAGCGACGGTCGGAACACATTATACATAGGTAATGGCTGCGTGCTGCGTAAGTGAAACCAATCAATTTGGCGATATTGGTGACATGGCCCGTACGCGCTCAACGACGAGTCGACGTCCATCTAACCATGCCACGAAAGCGGGGCGGTTAGCGATAGTCTACAATCACGTGCATGCCGCCGTCATGGACCCACCCGCTGAGTACCCGTACATCTTACAAACACTCTCGTCAACAAATGCTGTAATGTATGCGCCATGGATGATTTGTCTGATGGTCAGCCGAGTCTTATTGTCACGTGCAAGTAGTTACCATCCCTCATCCTTTGACTACGCGACACTTGTAAGAAGAAGGAACCATACACATTCTACCATTAATATATGCGTCATATCTTTGTGGATGGCTAACATGCGCTTCCATGTAAACGTTAGAACTCTTCAGAAAGATGCGCCGCTTAGATCCTTGACACATCCTCCTGAACATGCTCACATATGCATATCGTCCGAGACTTTTAAGCGCCCACGATCCCTTCTACCCATTCAATGTCCTCCCACGTCGCCTCCCATATGTTGAGTACCGTCAGCCTCCATTCCTTCCCATCGCGCTTCATGGTGCCCATGCACCGACACATCCGTCCCTCTTGTAGAAGACGGCGACCATCATACTCAAAGAGTTGAACTGGCTTCCAAATAGCGGCTGTGTACATACCCGTGACATACGGCGGTTTGGCATGGAAGAGATCGCAAAACGTGAATTTCTGCTCGGAGCCAGTCCGTTCCGAAGCAAGCACCCTGGCGTATAGCTCAATGATGATTTGGTATCCAGACTTGGCTGCTTGGAAGCTCTGATTGATCGCCTCGCCAATCCGAAAGCATGTCTTTAGTCGAGTGTTTGACGAAAGACCTATGATGGGCGAACGGTCACGGACAGGCTCAGGAAAAGGCGGTCTAACAATAGGCTTTTGGGCCTTTGCAGACCCCACATCGTTAGCCGCGACCAGTAGTCGAGTCGTAGGAGTTACTGGAGAGACGAACGGCTTTGAGGGGCGCTGAGAAGTGTTGGCCATGGAACTTTTGAGCTCACTTATGTCATCATTTTCGTTGCTTGTCTTTTGAGGTGAGCTCACAGGGCTGTTAGTGCTGTCAGGGTACAGTTTGTCAACCTCAGACGTCAACATCAAAAGTTCCTCGTCGTCAATATCGAAGTCAAAGTCATCAACACCAGAGTCGGAATCGTCATTGCGCTGTAAAGTCAAATCCCCGGTAGGTGACGCTGACACGGTCTCTTGGCTAGCAGTCAGCGCGGATGGTGCCGCTGGATATGCTCGAGGAACATCTTCTGGGACCTGATCGGCATGATGTGAAAGGACGTCACTGGCGATTGCCGTCTCAAGGGCCGTAGCAGTCAATAGCTGTGACTGTGGATTCGCATTGACTCCAGCTTTGGGATTTGATCTTGCAGGTTTGCGAATAGGCTTTGTCACACGAGAACTTTGTGAGATACTTTGCCGGTCCGGCATGTCACTTTCAGGTGTATTCGTCTGTGAATTACCGAGGAAGTCGTCGCAAACTTTCAGCCTCCGTCGCTTGCGTACTGGCTTCGGAGGCGGACTTTCTCGTACAGCTGGCAGAGGGGCATATTTCTCAAGATGCGTGGGTTCATCCGTACTGCCAAGACCAAGGTACTGAGCGACTGCAGGATTATGACTCCGTCGTCCGCTACCGGCGGCTCTGCGGCGTGACTGATTCTGCTGGATAGGTAAAGATGCTGAAGACTGAGGTGTCAAGAGCTGCGCTGGTTGCTGGTTGATGGCTGTGAAGCTAGAAGAAGGCGGAACTGCATGGGTGTTCCTGTGAGCCTCATATTAGTTCGAATCAAGACACCGGAGAATAGTAAGAAACGGTAAGTGAAGGCGCTGTGGGCTCCTCACACATCGTCGCCAATTTGATCTGTCATTGTCCCTCCCTCGTAGCCGTGATACAGCATACCCGGCGTTTGCATTATCACAACATGATGCATATGTCTGCGAAGTGAGAGAAGTGAGGTTCGGAAGCTTGGTGAGGGGAGGCGCGCTATGCGTGGGATGCGCCTTCCTTGACTTACTCAGCCCCCACTGCGGGGTGGTGGCTGCATCAAGGCAGCCGGACTTTGTTCACATATCGCGTGCACTTAGCAAACTTCGACAGATACTTTCCGTCTCGATCCCATACATCTGTCTTCTCTTCCTCCTGGGACTGCACGAGTCGCCAATACCCCTTCTGCTGAGACGGTGTGCTATTTCAATCTCATCTGTAACACTAGATCCTGACGTTCAGACCACTTCTCCGACCTCTTCCAGACCGTGGTGAGAACGCCAGACGGCCTTTGACCCTAATCCGCCCTGACACTCACGAAAACGTCTTTGTCCGGAGTGCACTGTTTCCAAGTGTAAAAATAAAGCAGTTCGTTGGCTGGCTTTTTCACGATGCCGGTAAGCCATGTCCAGATTTGTCAGTCTATAAGACTCCCCAAACATCGTGTCTTTTGCGTGCACCACAGCCCTCCCCCAATCCCTTTTTCCAAGTTTCTCTATACTTCTATAGAATAGTCATGGCTTCGAACATACAACATCTCGATATGCAGTCGCTTCTTGATGGGGAGACACTTTGCGGAACTTCTACCTCCTACAGCTGCCTTTCCGGTAAGGCATCTTATCGCAAAAGCCTGCTCAGAAAAAGCACATTCACTTCCAAGCCCCCTCGCAAGTTACTTCATCATCACAAAGATCCACAGGCTTATGCAGAGCTGCCAATCTTTGAGAACCCGTGCCCGTTGTGTGTATTCAACCATTGGCGAAAAGTACTAAAGCTCTGGCTCCGACAATAGAAGCATGCATTTTCAGCCGTCACGGTCCAGATCGATCGACTGACAAGCGAGCAATACGAGGAGAACGTAGGTCATCTTAAATTGCTGTTCGTACCATACTAAGCAGTTCAGGATGTTGGTGGAGTTGTTGACCTAATCGAAGTCATTCGAATCCAGTCATCTGGACCTACAGAAGCCGCTAGAGCTCTGCGAAAGAAGCTGTGAGTATAAATGCTGCATTTACAATATCTTTATCTAACATTTCTAAGCAAATACGGCAATGTTCATCGGCAGTTACGCGCGTTGGTAATCATGGACTCTTTGATCCAGAACGCGGGGCCTAGGTTTCAAAAGGCTTTTGCAGATGAACCACTCCTAGAGAGATTGCGAATCTTGGCCAGGGATGATACGGTAGATGCAGAAGTGCGACAGAAAGCTAACGTTTTGTTTCGAGGATGGGCTGTGGCGTACAAGGGAACGCCTGGACTCGAACGTATAGCAGCACTGCACAAAGAACTGCCGCGCACAAAACGTCCTCAACCACAACAATCTCGAATTGTCAGACAGCAAGATGCCGAGGCTGCACGTGAGCGCGAGGAGCATTCAACTTCTCCTCCTAGGAACAGGCGGCCGGAACCGCCAGCATCAAGATCATCGAACCCTGTGTCACTCGGCTCCACCTCTACCTCTACCTCAATCTTCAAGAGGGACAAGAAAGACAAGAAGAAGACCAAGGGACAGCCGTTCAATCTTGAAAGGGAGAAGGGTCAAATGTTGGAGACGATAGCGTCGGCCAATGTTGCTAGCACCAACTTACTAAACGGTTTACAACTCATCAACCGTGAACAAGAACGTGTTAGCGAGAACCCAGAAGTCATGCGACGCTTTGAGACGTGCAAGCAACTTCGTCGCCAGATCCTACGTTACATCCACTTGGTAGAGTCGGAGCAGTACATTGGTGGCCTCCTCAACGCCAACGATGAGCTGGTCAAGGGTTTGATGGCATTCGAACTCATGGACAAGAGCATCGATGACGACAGTGATAGTGACAACGAGGAAGGCAACGTGGCAGCAAGTATGGCTGGTATGAGTATGAACGAGGCTGCGCCCCCGAAACCCCCAAGGCCGACGAGCATCCCTATGCCCTCTGCGTATTCTGGTAAACAGCGTGCTGAGCCAGAAAGTGAGCCAGAGGAGGACGAGGATGATCCATTCGGGGACAGCAATGGTAAGTTTACTGCATTTGTTTGACTATAGTTTGGTTAACGTTTGACAGCTATCAAAACACCGTTCGGCGAGAAGACCCAGCCAACTTGGAGAGACGTCTAGGCTGTCAGGGCTCACGGAGACATGTTACAAGGCACGGTGCTAGACTTTTAGGTTTCTGAATGCGTGCAATACCCTTCCTATACTGTCAGATATCACAACCATAGAGAAACACAACAAAACATCCATACATCGTTCCGATATGCTTCATCTCTGTTTGACCAAACGCGTGGTGTCAGCCACGTGCACTGCCACAAGGGCGACGTCATACACCAGTTACGCCATGTCATTCTAGGCCTAGTGCCGCGCGCAGCATTGAATCCAGGAAGCAGGTCTGACAAGCCTCGTCGACGGTATTAATTTCCCTCGCCATCTTCCCTCTACCTCTGTACAAAACATCCGTCTCACATCCCTCACCGTACTCTACAACCATTACAACGTGCGTTACCCTCTCATTATCGTGCGCGCTTGCCAACAGCACACTGACATCACACCAGCGCAACTTCAACTCCAGCTCCCCGGACACAGCCCCCGCAAATCGAGACCCGCATCCTTTATCGCACGCATCTCGCATCCCTCCCCCAACTTGCCTACCTATCTACGAGTGTCTTCCCATCTCGAACCTTTAATCTGCAAATATGCCTGCATCCACCTCCTCGACCGCCGGTTCGATCGTCAAGCCTCAGGGCGGAAAGTGCAGTTGCATCAGCACGGATGACTGCAGTTGCTGCTGCCTTCCCTGCACGGTCATGTAAATGTGAACGATGAGGTGTGCGTTGTGGCGATGACGGTGTTGTGGTAGAAGTTGTTGTTTGTGTATGCACGCGAACAACAGCGTCACGGAGTGCACAACGCCGGCGCGTACAAGATGGGTGTTTTGCATTCTTGGGTTCTAATGTTTTGAGCGACAGCATACTGGATGATTACACTGGAGTTTCGGGAGTGTTTGTTTGCGATTGAATGCGTCGTATTGAGCATCAATTTATCGTAACTGGATATTCTGAATTCGTGCCGTGTTGGATTGCTGATGTGATTGTTTGGTCACTATTTCCCCTCACTTCAAAGATACGCCTATGCTTCTGCAGTCCTCAGGACAGTTCTTATAACATCTAACAGCATCCATGCTTCCCCAAACGACAACATCAAAAGACGCCAAGCCCAGCCCTACCACCCACACCCCTCTCAAGCGACCACGTGAAACATGCCCTCCAACACTAAGCCACTGACCAAACAAACTTCGGGACGCGAAGCGCCCAGCTTTTGCTGAGCGCGTGCCGAAACACCGGGACCGGCTATGTACTGTATGTGTGTTGGACTTGGACTTAGTGGGGGGTTGGAAAATCAGACCACATGGGCAGAGAGTTGCATATTTCCAAGACTGGATAAGACCCTTGGGAAGCTTGGGTAGTGCTATTTCCGGAGTTTATCCAGAGTGGGAGAGGTTTGGTAAGCGGGGGTGGGGATAGTACGGAGATAGTACAGAGTAAAGAAGTAACGAGAAGACGAGAAGTAACCAATGTTTGATATTTGATGTACCGATTTGTGCTCGTAAGAGCGACCTAACTAACTACCTAGCTAATCAACCCATATCATCTATTAAGAGAAATCCGTAGCTGAGAAAAAATAGTGGTATCATAAGATGTGATGATGAGAAGCCGAAAAAAGAAAAAGTAACTGTGAATCCCCGAGAATGCAAAAGTTTACTCCATAAAACATGAGCGGGTATCAATCTGCTCTTCCTCCATTTGGTAAATCGTGAATTTCGTTGCTTCCAAAAGCTCCAGCTGTGATGTCGTGGCGCTTTCATCGAGAAGCTGCACTGACGACTCATGCTCTGCACCCAGCAAACATGTCGATACTGATACTGTGATTTGGTCCGTCGTGGTGTCTGTGGGCTTCTGGACTTGCCCTCCCAGTGGCTCATCTCCGGAGACGAGATGCCCATGTGTGGCGCAGCAGCGCGAGTTGCTTTGTTTCTAAACGAATGTGGCTATCCATCTCTCCAAGATGTGATGTTCAATTCCTCACGCTAGTGATTGTGGTAGTCGTCTGTGGCGCCTTGTTGGCGAGAGGAAGGCCCTTTTCAATGTCGCGCATCTTATTTGCGTTTTTGCCCGGAGGCGGCGAGTTGAGGCGAATACCGGTCCTTCTGTTTTGACGGTTCTGGTGCGCTTGCTTGCTCGTATTGTCGGCGGTTGAGCGACCGGTAAAGCGGCGCGAGGCACGGCGGATCGAGGCTCGGACATCCCATTGGCGTTTCTTTGCGAGCCACCATAGTGTTCCTGATGCGACTGCTATGGTTAGCTTGAGAGAACTTTGGGTCGGGATATGTCGACGTACTGGATCCGAGGACTACAACAACAGCGACTACGATGATTGCCGCGAGAGCACCACTTGACAGCGAGAAGGCGCCTTTGGAAGCACCTGCCGCGCCGGCATCGCTTGGGTCTTGCGGGTTGTCGCTCCCTCCGTTGTACCCTGGAGGAGGAAGTTCACTACCCGTGGTATCCTGAGCCAAGACAAGAAGAGGAAGGAGCAACGAGAGGAGGAGAGACCCGCTCATGATGTTGATGTGCACTGTTGGAATGCGGCGTAGCAAGACGTGGAGAAATGGAAGCTTTGTGGTAACACGAGGATGGCGTGAAGGAGGTTCGATCAAGTGGATGACTACCAACAAGCTCGCTACCAGCATCGAGGGCACGTCTCTATATTTGCATGCCTACTCGGGAACCTTTTTTCTTCCAAGCCAATGTCTTTGCCCATGGCTATTCCATACCCCGCCAGTCTCAGCCTTTCTCGGCGGTTAACTGTGTGCGCTTGGACGGCCGACCAGGTTGGCTGCCGGATCTGTCCATCAGGCCATCTTCTTAATATAGCGCCATGGGCGTCGAATTGAGTCGGCTTGGGAGCGTAAGCTGCGCGGATTGGTAGGCGTAAAGAGTAGTACGGCGCGTAACATGGTGGAAGAAGATCACAGTGCAGCGGAGCTAGTGCGGCCTGAATTCTCATTGGATGCAACCCGGCTGTACGCACCCGGCTAGCAATGTCGCCGCACACTTTGGTCTCAGGGGTGCCAGCAACGTTTGCCCGTCGTTAATTGCAAGCCCTATGTATGACAAGTGCTATCGCAGTCGGTGAGGCCGTAGTAGACCTATCTTTGCTTTGTACCGGCCTGTCGACTGGTATACGTCTTCTGACGACATGGATAGTCTCCCCACTATCATTTCGACTACCTCTAAGCAGCCCCACGCACTCTTGGAGTATGCACTCCGGTTTGTCCACTGCGTCGTGAACGAGAATGGTATTCGTGGTGTTTGAGCGTGATGAGGCGACGGCGCGTCATGATGCCCTAGCTTCATTCGGCATGCCACGGTGTGTAGGTATTTCTGGCTCCTCATTTCCGGTGCAGTTGACGTGAGCCATTAATAATTCGGTAGGATGTGTCCAAGGAAACGAAAAACAAAAAACAAAAGAACGTCTTGGTTGATCTGCAATGGGCGCGTACTTGGTATCGACAAAGACGTGTACAGCGCCAGTCTGTCACGCACTGTGTTCGAGCAGATGTTGGTTGCTTCATCTCTTACCCCACTCATGGAGGCGGGTGTATAGTTTTGCACGGCATAGCCAAACGATGTCATCTGGGAGCAGTGGTGGCCGCTTGAAGCAATCACAACAACACCAGTGAAAGCGATCAAGATGCCACATGCCGTTTCGTGCGCGTTTGTAGACTCGGTTGTTCCTGCAACGTCTTTGGCAATTGTACCGGACGCGACTTTGGAATGGAGACATAAGCCCGGCATACTTCTAAGGAGGTGTGAAGACCATAAGGATATAGGACGAGATGTATAGGAGAAAAACGCGTTAGGTAGGTTGGCGGCTGCGACAGAAGAGGAAGATATTGCATAGAGATGCAAGGGTGCGGAGTGCCAGGTAGGTGCAGTAAAGTGGTGTGAGCAGTGAGGTTTGCTGGAAAATTTCACACATTTCCTGGGTATCTTCTGTTGCCCATTGTATCCTCCTGCTGTTATTTGCGCTCTGAGCCTGATTTCTGCCAATGATATTTGTCACGCCATCCAGGTGTGGCTTCCTTCCCTCGCGGAGGGAAGAGCGAAGGAAAGCGCAGAGCTGCCATCTTCGTCACTTCTGCTTTCTGCCACGACCCCTCACCTTCGTCTATCTCATCACAACTGCCTCAAGGCGTAATTGCTTCCTCGTTCTCCTACCCGTCATACTGCGTCTTACGTTCTCCCGTCCGTATCGAGCCTCGCAGCGTCCACACCGCCGATGGCTGAGGGTCGTAGAAAGGGCGCGTGGGCCTCCCAGCCTTCACGGCTTAGGAATGAAATACTTGCGGAATCTATAGGAGGACAGAGTGATGCTCCAAAGCATGTTATCCAAGTGCCACATAGCGATACCATAGTTCTAGAGACACAGCTAGATGAGGGTGGACAATTCGCAGAAGGCGACTTCCTCATCAACAATCAGCAAGATGTTAGAGAGAATTCTCTTAGTCCAGATGATCAGGCGGTGATAGATCGCTTGTCAACGACGAAGAAAGCCAAAGCGTCCGAGTCGTCCTCATTCAACGTCAAATGGCTTGCCAAGCGAATCACCGAACCCATCAACCAACCCGTGTCTTCTGATTTAAATGGATTTTCTTTCATGCCAATCAAGAAGGCTCAACACAAGAGATCACTAAAATCGAAAGACACGACCAAAGAGGTTGCCAACCTGGCCAGCTTAACTTTGCCCACACTACCAGAACGTGGCAAGCAACACTCCAAGGGTAAGATTCATGTCCTTTTGAAATGTACTTGACTAAAACTCGAATAGGTATCACTGAACTTGCTGCAGGTAGCATCGTCCCTCCACCGCGTACACCCAAAATCGAACAGCATGTGCCGGATAGCACCACTGTGCATGGTATGGGAGAGATACAGCCCTTGTCTAAGAAGACAAATACCACTCGGCTCCAACAAAAGCCCATCGATCTACAGTAAGAATCACGAAGATGCAGCTAGGGCATAACTGACAGACTTAGCCATCAGACTTGTCAACAATCAATCAGATCGGCATGATTGATTCCTATCTAGGCTAAAGGCTGCCTAATGAAGTAATTCTTTAACCTATATAGGAATCAATCATGTCGATCGATTGATTGTTGACAAGTCTGTTAGCCATACACAGACGGAAATAGCAATTGGTCCAGTACCTCCAGTACAGCCAAGTAGAAGAACCATCCATGAGATCAAGATGGTACGAACTGGGAAGAAGATTAAGAAGGGCAAGAAGGCGTTCCAGTCTCAACAACCCCAACAACCCACAGTACCTTGGCCACCGCGTGGGGGAACTGCCACAGATTTGGTCTGCAAGTCTAGTATGGTTGATGACGCGTTCTCAGCCAATCCACAGGATCTGTGTAAACCAAAGACACAGGACGGTGTAACACATGGTGCTTTCGAAATGGATTCACAGGCACAACGCTCAGTTCAAGGGCATCAAGCGCCTGCTTACAACCACAAGTTAGTAGCTCGCAACATGCAGGACAACGAGAGCACACCACGTGAAGCGGAATCCTACGATATGTTTAAGGACATGCCAGAAAAAGTATCTCAGACCTTTCCGGTATCTTCAGCAAAACATGTATTCCCAACAACACCAACGACCGCTTCTTTCACCATCGTTGAGCAGCGCCATGTTGTCGGAGTGGATCAGCATTCACATCCAACCATTCAAGATCAGTCAGCTTTGGCACCCGACCGGCAGGCATTGGTTGATCCTCCTCCTGACCAATATGCCGCCTCACAGACCCACGAGGTTCACCAAAGCCACGTCCCGCAAATTGCCCAGTTGCCAAGCACCATGGCTACTATTGCTCAGCCCTCCCTGCCACAGACGGGAAAGAAAGCCGGACAGCCAAGGGAGGCTGAAGCTGTCCTTCATGGAGTCTCAGGTCGAGACGGATCTGATCGTGTCAACAAGCCACGAAGAAAGACACGAGTAGTCAGCGCACCCTCCCCTCATGCTACACAGGGACCATCAATATCCACTGTCATGGAACAATCATTGAACGACCTGAAAGTGGCAATGTTGGCCGATAGCTACCTGATTCAACACGAACACAATACAACAAAGAAACAGCATGAAGAGACGATTACAAAACTCCAAGACTCCATCGTTATGTGGGAGAAGAAGTATGAAGAGAGCCGCAAAGGCTACAGCAAGGTGCTGGATGGTGCGAAGAACAGGCAGAAATACCTCACCGGTCTTCAAAGCGACCTTGAACAGATGCAGAAGTACACCAATGACTGCGAGAAGGAGAGGAAAGAAGCTTGAAAAAAAATGACTGCCGAATTCGAGCAGGAAAAAAAGGTTCTAGGAGAAGAATTTGAAATGACAATCGACAAGCTCACAATCAGTCTGCGGAGAGTAAGGAAAGCATTCGACGAGCTATCCCAGGAGCTTGTTGTATCGGAATCGGAGAATAAAGGCTTGAAAGAGAGTCTGAGTGAGCAGAAAGCATCTCTTGAGGCAGCAGAGGAGAAGCGCAACGCTCTTGAAAAGAAGCTTCTGTCCTGTGCGGAAGGTGCGCAAAAGTCGCGAAGTCAACTGGAGGAGTTTTTCCAGACCCTCACTTCGAAGATTGATTCACTGCATCCCTCCAAAGAAACGGCTGATGCGGACGGCATACAGAAGCTCGAAATCAAGGAATGCCTGAATGTCTTGCGAGGTCTCAAGGAAACAACTTCCTTGAAGGCTGAGAAAGTAGAAGACATGCTGAGCTCTGTAAACGAGCGGTAAACACTCCCCGAATCGTAAGTTACAAGAACCGGTTTGCTGACAGATTTAAAAGGTTGGAATCAGGCCTCGATAGCATCTTGAAGTCGGTGGAGTTCAAGACATCATCCGACCCGGGATTGCGTGAGTTCGTAGAAGACCAAGTGCAACATCTTCGAGTCGATATGACGAAATACGAGGAGATAGCTGTTGAGAATCGTAAGGTGTATGAGTCAAATGTTGCTCTCAAAGAGCAGCTCAAAGCGCAGCAATTGCATTCGTCCCGACTGGAAGAGCAGATCCAGACGTTCCAACAGTCGGAATCTGATATGAGGGCTCGGTCCAATCAACTGGAGCGCGATTTGGACGACTTGAGGAAGGCACGCAGCCCAGGTTTCGATGTATCAGGGCTTGAACAAGGAAGTGCTCATCTACGGCAACAACTGAGGAAAGCGGAAGAAGGCCTAGAGGCAGCCAGTGTCGAAATGGAGACGCACAAGAAGCTCCGGCAATGTCTTGAACAGGACGGAGCAAGATACAAGGTAGACGTCATGGCACCAATGACTATGCCACGATTCTAACATGCTCCAGAAATGCTACGAGAATGCTAAAGCACATCTAAAGCAGATGGCTGCGGCACACCGATCCAAGGTAAAGAAGCATTGATGTTACCAAAACACCGTTAACATGGATTCTAGATGCAAAACGCGGCCGTGATGCGCACATGTCTCGTGAAGGATTGCGAGGACAAGATTGATAAGTACAAGCGTTGCTCGGAAGCTGAGATAAGCTGCCTCAAGTACGATTACAGCACGAAGGAGGCAGAGTGCACGGAGCTGAGCGACAAACTGGATATTTCCGCAGATCAGTTGAGCCAGATGAAAGAGAGTCTTGCCGGCCTTCAATCTAGTCTTGAAGACATGCGCAAGCAGCAACTAGTCGGCGAGACTAAGCTAAAGGATGCAACTCAGCAAAGTCTATCCAATTCAACCGAAGTGGCTCGTCTCCGGGAGCGACTGCAACAGACAAAAGAGAAGCTTCATGCTAAGACAGGAGATCTGATGAAGGTGGAGAAACGTGCGTGAACTTGTTGTATTGGAGCTACGGGAGAAGAGAGAATATCTATGGTGCGCGCACGGAGCAGCTGACTAATCAGTGCCTGGCCAATCAGAGCACGGGAAGCCTGATTCACCGTGAATACTAGTGAAGGCTCTCACCGCGTCTCGACACACCCCCACAGGACCTGATAGTCCTGCTCTATCCACCTTTGTTGTAGTCCTTTGTTTCGATAGTTGGAGTCGTAAGGCCTAGCTGTTGTAGATACCTGCTGTGGGCTTGTCGTTCAAGAGGTTTCGTGAGGCCGTCAGCAGCCATCTCATGAGTTCGTACATGCTCTACGTAGAGGTTGCCGTCGCGGACTTGATCCTTGATGTAATGGTAGTAGATATCGACGTGCTTTGTACGCTCGTGATGACCCTCTGAGTGTAGTAGCTGTATAGATGGAGCGTTGTCTCCGTAGATAAGGATAGGATGGGTATCTGTACCGTTGTAACCGAGCTGGTGTAGCAGACGGTACAGCCAGGTAGCCTCCTTAGCGGCGTAGGTAAGAGCAACGTACTCAGCTTCAGTTGTTGAGGTTGTAACTAGCTTTTGCTTGACTGACTTGTGACAGATAGTACCTCCAGCAAGTTTGAACAAGTATCCGGAGGTTGATTTGCGGTCCTCGCCGTCAGCAAATGAGGCGTCGCTGTAGCCATGTAGGTGTAGCGTAGGATTAGTGTTGTTCTTGTTGTCATCGTATGATGTCGCATACATGGTGATAGGCCTGAGTTGCGTGTGGAGATGTAGCTCGATAGCTCATTACAAGAGATTTGAAGGTCTTGAGATAGTCGATGATCTGGATTGCGTACTCGTAGTGTTGTTGAGTTGGATTGCTCATAGCGCGGGCGAGATAGGCGACGTGGAAGGATATATCAGCTCGCAGTTGGGTTGCTGGATACAGCAGCTTGCCAATAACCTTTTGGTAGTTCTGAATTTGTTGTTGAGTTGCAAGATCAGTTGGAGATCGCAGCTTCAACTTGAGTACTGAGGTATCAAGCGGCGTGTAGCGAGGGAGCGCGTGTTGACGACTATACTCCTCTACAAGCTTGTCGACATATGACTCCATTGAGATCTCGATGAGTCGGGATGGTCGTGAGCGTCGAATCCGGAGACCTAGGTAGTGAGAGATTGGTCCTAGATCTCGACACTTGTACTTCTTGTATACAGCCTCTTTGATCTCCTTCATGCGTTGCTTCGTAGCTGTGATGAAGATGATATCATCAACATACGCAAGGATAAGACTGCCGTCTAGGTGTTTGAAGACACATGGATCTGACTCTAAAGGATCGAAGCCGATACCCTTAAGATAGCTCGATAGCTCATTGTACCAGAGGCGTGGTGAGCGGCGCAGGCCGTACAAAGCTTTGATAAGTTTGGCTTTGCGTCCGTCTGGTAGGCGGACATAGACTACTTCGTCTTTGTCTAGTTTACCGTTGAGAAAGGCGGTAACAACGTCTGCTTGCTCGCATTCTAAGTCTTCGGTTGCGACAAGGGCGAGAAGGACTTTTAGTGTAGTTGCGCGAGCTACTGCAGCGTAGGTTTCGCGCCAGAAGTCGGTCTCCTGCCTATTGCCACAGACAACCAGTCGAGCCTTGAAGCGCTCGAGTTGTCTATCGTCCTTGACTTTGTATTTGTATACCCACTTAGTAGGCAGGGCGTATACGCCAGGAGGGATCGTGGTTGTGGTCTCCCATGTGCCATTCTGGTCGAGTGATACGAGCTCTTCATCTTCAGCAGCGATCCATTGCTTGCTGTATGGATGAAGGCGTGCTGCCTTGCGTGTGGCAGGCTCAGGCGGTAAGTCTGTTGTTGTTGCCTCTGTAATTGCCGTAGCAAAGCAACGAGAGACTGCCGCGTATCGGTTGGGCGGTCGAGTGATGCGACGACGTCCATCGAGTATGTTACGGGCATCAAATGATGCACTGATCTCGTCGTGACGTGGAGCGTTTTGGGATGTATCCCGACGCTGAGGTGTTGCTCGAGCATTAGCAACCTCGGTAAGACTGTTAACGTGTCCGTGCGCGTGATGCGCGGATTCGCGTGATGCGCGGGGAACACCAAAACACGTCAAACCCCTTCACCTTCAACACACGTTAACTCCACCAATATGGACCCAATTCAAGCTGCGATTGAAGATATTGAAAATCTAGAGCCAGGAGAACAGTTCTCGTATACTAAAATTGCTGCTAAGCATGGTGTTGTGAGATCTACGTTGACCCGAAGGCACCAGGGCCAGACAAGCTCAGAAAGAGACAAGAACTTCAACCAGCAGAAACTCAACCCACAACAAGAGCTAGAGCTTGTGAGATATATCGAAAAGCTCACAAAGCGAGGCATTCCTCCTACACGAGAGATGATCAGGAATTTCTCATCAGAAGTAGCCCATCAGCAGCTCAGCGAGAGCTGGGTTACTCGCTTCATCAACCGACACGAGATCCATCTCATCTCAAAGTGGACCAGCGCCATGGATCGTACGCGCCACCTGGCTGATTCTGAGTCAAAGTATAGACTCTACTTCGAGCTGCTGCATCGAAAGATCACCGAATATCACCTAGAGGCTCGAGATATATACAATATGGATGAGAAGGGCTTCTTAATTGGCTTGATAGGCAGAAGTAAGAGGATATTCAGCAGGCGTCAATGGGAGAAGAAGGAGGTTCGAGCATCTCTCCAGGATGGATCACGCGAGTTTCTGACAGTCCTGGCCTGCTGCTGCGCTGATGGGAGCTCGCTGCCTCCAGCCCTTATCTACGCAGCTAAAAATGGAGCTATACGATCGAGTTGGGTAGAAGATATCAAGGCAGGAGAACATGAGGTCTTTGTCTCATCATCTCCAACAGGCTGGTCAAATGATAACGTAGGCCTAGCTTGGCTGGAGCAGGTGTTTGATCGCTCTACAAAGCAACGATCAGGTAGATGGAGATTGCTCATCCTTGATGGCCATGGATCTCACCTCACGATGGAGTTTATTAAGTACTGCGATCGCCATAGGATCCTCCTCATGATCCTTCCTCCCCATTCGACCCATACGCTCCAGCCGCTAGATGTAGTGCTGTTCAAGCCACTCTCTCAAGCCTACTCTAACGAGCTCACTAACCATCTCCATAAGGCTCAAGGCCTTATTCCAATCAAGAAAGGGGACTTCTTCCCGCTCTTCTGGAGCGCCTGGATATCCTCCTTCACAGAGAGCCTCATATTGAAGGCCTTCGAAGCCACTGGGATCTGGCCGATGGATGCCAACGTTATCCTTCGTAGATTTGCTAGCACGCCAGAAGCTGAGAGAAGCTCATCGTCAGGGCTCTCTGATCATGACTGGAGAAAGTTCGATCGGCTAGTACGAGCTGCTGTTAATGATAGCCATCAGTATGAGGCAAGAAAGCTGCGCTCAAGCGTTCACCATCTCTCTGTGCAGTATGAGCTTTTAAAGCATGAGAACGAGGGCTTAAAGGAGGCTCTTCAACATAAAAAGAAGCACAGGAAGAAGGGCAAAGCTCTTGACCTTCAACAGCGCCAGGAGTATCACGGTGGCTCTGTCTTCTGGTCTCCTCGCAAGCTGCGTGAGGCTCGAGCTAGAGAAGCAGTACGGGAGCGAGATGAGACGGAGGAGAAACTCCAAAAAGCACGGTCCAAGAAGCAGCGCGAGGAGGCTCGACTGCAGCGTCAAGATGAGCTCGAGGAGAGGCGTGTGGAGAGGCAGAGACTCAAGGAGATGAGGGAGCTTGAGCGAGCTGAGAAAGCAGCTGAACGCGCGCGCCAGAAGGAGGAGAGAGACGCTGCTAAAGCTATACAACTACCCCAAAAGGGAAAGAGGAGAGCTTCAGCAGCTACCTCATCGAACAACAAGCGTCAAAAACGCGTTGAGGCTGCTCGCGCTGGTGCTCAAGTTCAAGAAGAGCCTCCAGCTCCTCCATCAAAGCTCACAACACCGAACACCAACTTTTAAGGAATTTGGGACCCTTATAAAATTATACGATTTTTACATCATTTTAACGGCACGGCGGCCTGTAACTACCTCAGCTAAATAACCGCTTTCTGCTCTCGCGGAGGTGGTTAGAATGGCTAATGTAGAAACTCCAGAGAGGGCGCCACGGAGTGCCCAACCCCCCCATACACGATCAGAGGAGCCTGAGAGCCCTATTAATACTGACCTGCGCGGCAACAAGAGGAGGCAGCGAGCACATACTCGTGCTGAACCTTCTATCGGTAGCACTGCGCCCACCTCCTACAATCAAGCTGTCTCTGAAGCGGTCCGCCAGCGGATTCAGGCAGCCCAAAAAGCTACAAACCTCCACCACTCCATCATAACGGATCTAGCGACAGCTGTCGACAGATGCCTTGGGAAGTACACCGACCCAGACGGAGCCCGTGTGGCTAAGGACCTTCAACAGAAGGTGCTAAGGGCTATTAACACCTCCCTAATCACGCCCCTAATCACGCCCCCAAACTCAGGGAGCGACTCTGACACTACGCACCGCTCCTGGGCGGACGTAGCTAGGACCCTGAAAAATCCAACCCCCCCAGCAAGGGGGGCCGCTACGACGAAAGCGGCCACGGCTGCCCCAAAGCAGCTAGCTCAAACTCCTAGGCGACCTCTAAACACTGACAACCGTATCCTTATAGCGGTTGGAGCGGAGGCTCGGCTCCAACGGGCATCACCATTTGCGGCCCGCATGGCTATTGTAAAGGCGATTAAGGAAATTACCCCCTCCGACATACCTACGGCAAAACATATCAAGACTGGCTGGGCGATTACGCCCCGCAACGACAAAATCAAGGCCCTGCTTATGGGGCAGGAGAATCGCGAACTCATGATCCGAGCGGTAGAGGGCGAGAGCGCAAGACTACCTGAACGATGGGTGAACTATGCAGTCCAGGGCGTAGAAAGCTCATACCGCACTATCACAGGGGAAAGTATACCCACCACAATAGACGATATAGTCAGCGAAGCTCTGTCCCAGACAGGGATCGAACCGGCGAGCTGCCG